GTTGATGGTTTGAGTCTTGCTGGTTGGTTTCAGGAAAAACATTTAGGATAAACTGGCAATGTACAGGAAGGGGTACAACTAAACTAAAGTTATAAAGAATAATAAGCAGTTAATACTAGTCATTATCTTATAATTAACTGCATTTAAATGACATTGACATGATTGAGATTGTCATTTACAGCATTTGGTAATAATTACAAACATAATTTTTAGAGAATCCAACAACATTGCACTGGTAATATTTTTTTCTGTTGACCAGGTTAAGAATATTCTGATAAAGAATATTCTGATAAAGAATATTTGGTCATTACACTCAGTTTTAGATATTATTTAAAACAAATATCCATAAACAGTGATAAACAAGGATGTGGAAATCCAATGCTTGACATGCCTGAAACTGTATGTCAGGCTGTCTGACAAGAATTTGGCTCATTGTCTGTAGACAAGCAAAACATTCTAAAGAAACTAATATGAAATATCAAAACATGCTATTCATCTTAAATTACCCTTGTCCATCTCAGTGGAGTTTTTTTAGCCTTGTTTCCAAGATATTTGCTATTCATCTGGGAAGTAATACTCATTAGTCTTAATTATGAATTCAAGGTCTGCAATTTGTTATTACCAAAACAGGTCTAAAACAGATGACAATATACATGTCGAAATCTATCGTGATAATTAGTTTAAACCATGGAAAATCAACATGATCAGATGTAAATAGTTAACTTGCCTGAGCATGCTGAGGGCAAGAGAACATATTTTATTGATTTCCACTCTCATGAAAATGTTGAATGAAACAATATCAATCCTCATTCACAAATCATGATGAGTAAGAAGGGTTTAAGACTGCTTTGAAGAGAATTCCAGTTACAGTATCACAGCGTTTCAGTTGGATGTGGGAGGAAAGCCCAAAGTGATGCAAAGTGAAATCCCACAAGCATGGGTATGGTGCTGACAAACCTTGAAACATAATAGGGGCGAAACAGGATTCAAACCCACGATCATAGGGTTCTCACATACACAAGGGACACAACTCTGCACAACACATTGTGGTGCCTGAGACGACTGGGGGTGCAACTGCTCCCACTCTAACCATGATGATATACACCAACATGTCCAAATTCTCCACAAAGTTATCACAATCTCAAGCCAGAGCAAACCAAATGTGTTGTGCACTGCAATGGGGGATCTTTTTTGTCTTATGAGATGGATCCCTGCTCCCTTTGCTTGATATGGAGAAATTCCATTTCAGCTACAAGATCTATTTTAACAAAACTGGTGTAGGAACTGTGAATATTTTAACTGCTCACTTCATACAAACTTTGGAATTATATTTTATCATTATCAAATAGAATATAGATAATATATACAAGACCCTTGGTATTTCCACTGCCAAGCATGATTAATAACAATTTCTCCTTCTTACGGGTTTAAAAGAATACCTGGTTTTTTTTCAAATCATGGAATAGATTCAGTATAATATCAGATCACATTGCTAAGGTTTCATTAGGAAATAAATAAGACAAAAAAAATGTGCTGTACCTTACACCAATACATGACATGCTTAATAATTCAGTATGATGTGATATGCAGATTAGCTCAGTGTTGACCTGCACATCAAGTCGTCATAGTGCAATGTCATGCTGAGTCGTAACAGATCCCCCACCCCCTCCACTTGCTTCATATAAAACATAAGTGTAACATTTGACAATGTAACCATCAAATCCTTACCACTGACCACTGCTTTTGATCTCGTGACAATGGAATGCCTGTAATTTGCTTAAAAGGAAGCTGAACCGAACTGAATTCATATCCGACAAAACAAGCTAAGCGATCGCGTCGCTCATGACCTCGAAGTCGGAACATGTAGAGGCGTGTGTGTCCATGGTGTTTGATATTTTGTTCGTGGACAACAGAGCCAATATCGAACCAACATCATTTGCTAATATTTCAAGTGGCTTACCTTGTAAGATTACTGTCTGTTACCTATGTTCTCTGAACAGACAGCCGCCTGACTCTAAACCATTAACAATATTGACGTAATGATAGGACTCGCTGATCAAAGTATCAACTGCAACTCACGGCCGCCATGCCTCATAACTTGTCGCGATACTTAGAGATCTAAATACATAACTTCAGAGAGATCAGTCCAAAATTCAGTTGTGATAAATAATGATATGTGACTACTGATGAGACATGGATAAATGAGTAAACACAATAAACTTTCCGCACAGAAACATGCGAAATGTTTGAACTTCAACAAACATAAAATGGCGGATGTCCTACATTGAGCATGCGCAAAGTCGAAAACCCGGATGAATTTTCTAAACATAGCACAATATGACATGACGTCATTCCTACCAGATAAGCCTTTGGTTGTATGGCTAGCCGATTATTTATCCACATGCGTCATATGATTGATAGAGTGGTATCTCAGCAAAAACAAAGAACTTACATTTTACATATAAAACTTGATTAATAAACAGTTTCAACAAAATCTGAGGCGAAACTCGCTCAGTTGCCTTGTTTGTAACCACGGAAGCACAATCAATAATTCACCATCGATACTGTTTCAAATTTGACAGGTAGTAAAAGTGGCACTATTTTGTAATCTTACAAGTCCTAACTCCAAACTTAATAAGTATGTTTATCTTGTAAAATTTGACAATGTATAGCGTTATAAATAACTGTAATGTTCACATTTATGTATAGCACGAATTCAGAATCTATTTTCTTTAAGTGCATTGGCAATCACAATCGATTGGTCAGACTTGATCAACTGCGAGAGAGGAGCAGTTATTTTTGTTTATGTATGACGTAAACTATTTACAAATACGTCACAGACTGAGAGGATTTCCTGTGAAACCGAAACATTACAATGCCTGTGAAGCTTTTGGGTCATTATTTTCAATACTTTCTCAATGAATAGTGAAATCATTAACAGCAGTAGCAATATGACGTATATCACCATGATAACACAGAACTGTGAATATATCAACATTCAACCAAAGTGATCCGTGCATTCTCCGGTACGCTTATATTTGTGTTAAAACGCTACAGCGCATTTCTCTGTATCCTCTGTATACTGATAAAACACACAAGTGTCGAATATTGAGGTTTTTATACCTTTTATCCGACTTGTTTTCTGCGGTCGGAAATGTATTTTTTCGATGTTACCGTGAAAACCATTGGGTGAGCGACATAAAACGTCACAGCTGTGTAACTATTGTCCCTCGCTTCACATATAATGATTGTAAAAACGGAAGTAGGAAAACGTGGTTTTACCAGGATTTCGCATGAAAAATAACATTACTTGTGTTTTCCCTGATACTCCCCACATCAAAGAACATGTAAGCCCAACCACAGATTTCCATAAACTTGGTACCAATGAGTGTGTTGCATGGCTAGACTCCACAGCACATGTCGACAATACACCTTGTTTATTGTAAGCGAGGTCGGATTATAGATCAATGGTCTTTATCACTACCTGGTATATATGTAGAGTAATAGGATGATCTTCTCGTCTATAGAATTTGGCTTGTTGACATGATATATATGCCGGTGTTTGTCCGGAAATGTACATCGCTTTGTTATCAACCATTACCTGTTCAAGGCCCGCCTATACTCTAAACAGATATGGCTGTACCTTATCAACCGTTACCTATTCAAGTTCCGCTTATACTCTAAACAGATATAGCAGTATGTTATCAACCGTTACCTGTTCAAGGCCCGCTTGTACTCTAAACAGATATAGCAGTATGTTATCAACCGTTACCTGTTCGAGGCCCGCTTGTACTCGAAACAGATATGGCTGTATATTATCAACCGTTACCTGTTCGAGGCCCGCTTGTACTCTAAACAGATATAGCTGTATATTATCAACCGTTACCTGTTCGAGGCCCGCTTATACTCTAAACAGATACGGCGTTTCAACCTATTATTATTTTCCTTACTGCCAAATCCACCTCCAAATTGCGACTTCCTAGCAACCACATATGTTCCTGGTTATTGCTGGAATCAAATAGTCAGTAGGTTATGAGTGTTACATAGACTCCTTGCACTGATGAGTTTATGGCCATCCGACCATAACTTTTGTATAATTGATCACAATGGAACCAAGCAATACTCATAACCAATCTATAGTAACAGGCTGAACGTGACTCAGGGAGGTGACACCGGGGACAAGAATTAGTTCTGACGTGCTTCATTGTATATACTAGCTGGCACTTGTATATAGCTGTACCCAATTATTATTTCTAAAAATCTAATTTCCCCATCCACATACAATGTACATTTACTGAATACATTTACAAAATACGAATATATTCTATGTTAATTACAGATGATATTTACAAGCATAAAAAATATAATATATGCGTGGGTGGGGTTTGGCTATATTGTATTCTAGATAACACCGAATGATAACACATTTGACAAATTGGTTTTCAAACAGACAATACACACAAAAACGTAAAAATATTTCTGGATATAGCAGTAAATCTCATATATACTTTCTGTCCTTTCTGGATAGTGTGATGTGTAACTGTTCAACACTGCAAATGTTGTAAGATCCCTGGAATGTTTTGCGAAAGCTTTACCAATAAACCAGAGGAAAGCGTAACAGTTATCTTGAATTACGTATTTTCAACACAGAGGGAAATAAGTATCAGATAGCCCGATCAATTCAATGCATGTTGTAACTACTTAAAGGTACGCAGCTAGACTAACATTTAGTCTCTGAAATCTTATATTACACAATATCCTTCTCGACTCTAAAAATAAATAACAAAATCCCTATGTTGATTTCATAATAATGTGGCATAGGGCTAGCTAGAGCTGGCTAGACTTGCTTTTGTATGACTTTTTAGATTTATTTTTTTTCTCATAAAATAAATATATTCCACAGGCATGGTGCAGGACTAGTACGCAGCCTGTTCATTTATTTCCTTAAGAAATCGGCGGAAAACGCCGAGGTTAGCCGACTGGTATAAGGGAAGTAACTCTTCAAAGACTAAAACATCCAACATTGAATGACTGGGGGATCTTTACGTAATACCCCCGCAGCACCCATGACACTGTCCTGAGCATGGCTCATTTGATCAGAGGTCTGATATTTGTTTTAGCAGCACCGGCTGTTGGTTACATACTTATGGTAGGGGTATCACCTTCCGAGGACGAAGCACGAAGAGTAAGCCACTTTGTATTGATTGAACGTTTCGCGCACCTGTTTGTTTACAAATGCAAAATAGGACACAAGGGTTAATATTTGTTGAAAGTTGGTGAAGCAGATTAAATGATTGTAGATATTGGAACTATGATATTTCAGTACCACATAAAATTCGTCTATTCACACATATTTTTTTGATAATATCAATAAATCAGTGTGATATTTATTATACGTGTGGAAAGAAATTGAATGACTACAGTATACATTAGTTTGTATTCAATGGCACTTCCATAAAGACGCTGCCATATTGAAGATAAAATGGAATTATATGGTGTTCACTGGAGTGTAGTTGTGTGTAACTTCTTTTCCGTTACTTATGATACATAGATAATGCAATGTTTGCCAAAACAGTTGCAAACATGTGCCAGTAAGATTGGAAAAAGTGTTTTCTAAATTGAAATGACATTGAAAGCAATGTATATTTGTTGACATCGCAAGTTCGTCACTGCTATCCGATTTTAATAAAGTACTATATATGCTTTCTATTTTGGTACTGGTCACCATACTTACTACAAGTCCTACAACAAACAGAAAAAAGATGTGTCACAAGTACCAGTCAGATTAAGTGAAATCTTTACTGAGCAGAAACCATGCAGTAACCATGGTCACATGACTTGTCAGATGTCATCAACCACAAGAGGAAAAGAACATTATAAACACTTGCTATACACTATGTAGTCAGTCATAACAGCAACCTTTTCAATTTTGTTCACTTGTGTGATATTATCGTGACTTTATTGCAGACTAAACATAAATAGTTCACTATTAGAATCTTAATTTTAGTGTGATTATTGTTGGTATACCTGAGCCAGGAAAGGAAATTTAACAAACAAATTAGGATGTTTAAGTGGTGTTATCATACTTCAACGAGAAGACGCTTAGAAAAAACCTCACATCTTATAATGCCAGCTTGTTTTTTACAGAAACTCAAGCAGCAGAATGATCCAGCTTCAGAAAGAATAAGACAGCAAAACCAAGCATTGATGAAACAATTGCAAAAACAAGCAGGTATTACAGATGAACAGTTGAAAAAGAAGTAATTCACTGGTTGAGGAAGAGCTAAAGTGTAGTTTTCTAGTGTGTGGATGTGAGACAAAATTGTACTTTATGCTTGACTTTGTGGAATAGGTCTCTTGTACAGTCAGAGTGATCACCACCACCCAGCTAGCTCTCCAGGATTCGGACATGTTGCTACCAACGCTTGATCACATTGGCCCAGCATACCTCACCCTTGTGATGTCAGATAAAGGCATATTATGATCTTGAAAATACCTCATTGTATCAGATATTGACTTATTAAATCTTGTTGTTTAATTGTGGCTGTGTTGTAGTTTACAATATGGCTGCTTGTGAAGATGTGTCCTATTTACATCTTACCCAGTCATCTAAAGTGTGAAATTGTGCTTATCATGGGTTCGATTCCCAGATCTGGCCCATTTTGATACTTGGTTTGTCAGCACCATACCCAGCCTTGTGTGTTTCACCAATTCAGTAGACCCGGGTATGACAGCCTGAAATGTTTATATACGACAGATGTATTTTTCCAGAATCTAATTTCCCACAATTAAGGATGCATATAACACACGTATTATACACGAATAAATAAGTCTTGTGTATATTGATCAATCGGAACGGGTGCTGATTAGGATTGTTCACTAGCCAATATATTAGCAAATATCACCGTGGGCGCTAAGTAGAGTGGGGCGCTTATTACATCGAATACGGTATATCAAGAGATGGAGGGAGGGAGCCACATCATCATCAAATACACAACAGGTGATATTTTTCTTGATACCTTTGAAAGGATACAGTTTTTTACAAGTGAAAAAATGAATGTCATCTTGCATACAAACCCTAATTTGTAAAGTCCACGGCAGCATTTAAGATCAGCTAGTCCAGTCATCATTCTACCATGGTTGCACCAGGAAGTAATGAGTCACCGCCATCATCAAATACACAACTATCACTGCGAAATAGCCGCCTGCCCACAAGCCCATGGCTAAAGATTCCTAACTGTCCCTAGCCCGACTTGCTACTGAAATTTTAATGGTGATATGTGTTTATGCACACCTCTTGGTTCCTCAGTATGACCATCAAAAATCAAATTATTGTCCGGAACAAATTGAGATTGCAATTTTACAGAATCCTATGGAAGCCTTTTAGGGCCATTTGTTTTTATATTTTTTTCTTGAAATTTCAAGAAACTAAGGTAAAATTTCAAGACATATACTAATTGGAAATTTCAAGAAAATGATAGGGAAACTTATGAAAATTAGTTGAAATTTTAAGATTTTAACTTGAAATTTAAATGTATGTATCTTGATTTTTATACTTAGTATCTTGAAATTTCAACTTAGTATGGATCTTGAAATTCCAAGATAATAAGTTAGAAGCTTCCGTAGATACCTTTTAGGGTCAATTGTTTTTTTCTTGAAATCTCAACTTAGTATCTAAAAAATTCCAGAAATTAATGGGCCTAAGAAGCTTCCGTACAATTGGGGTTTACTTAATTGATACAGCACAGAATAAAATATCTGGAAAAATGAACTTATTAATTATTTAATATTTAAGCCAGTGAAATTTGAAATTGTCTAGTAACTTTGAAGGCTAGCTGGCCCACCTGTCCAGCAATATTTTAAGACCATTTCATATGAGTGCATGTCCATGTGTAAATTACATATAATATTCATCACTGAAGATATATCCCTGCTGAAGATGCACAGTATTTGTATTTCTATTCAACAATAATGCTCCCTACACATCAATAATGCTCCCTACATAGAACAATGTTCTATTAATTGTGAAATGTACATGTGTAAAGATTAAAACATTGTTGTATATTGTTGGTCATTAGGTAGTGTTGTGCATGGTATTATCAAACATTTTAATGTGCACATATGAAATCCATGTCAGTCTGATCATGACTGTACCAATATTATAGTAACGTATTTCAACACAGTACAAAAATAGTTTCAGAGGTGTGACCCACTGGTGACATTTCTATTTACACAGTTTAAAAAATGAACAACCAAACCTATGGTTACCATGGCAACTATAAGTGTGTCATCCGTAGTTTTCTCACGTCACCAGACGTTAAATCACAGAAGATGGGTAAAAAAAGTTAACAATTTCCACACCTTCTTTTATACGAATAACATCCTGATTAAAATATTTTTGAGGTTTGAAATGTTGAACTTACAGCAAAAAGTATCACATTGCATATGGTACAAACTGTTTTCTATGAAATATCCCTATACAATATATTTAGAATGGTGGTAAATCAATATTTTATTCTTGACAATCCAGAGACACCATTACGGTTACATTTACTTAACATTTGTCATCCAGTGTTCCCTTCAGTTGGAGTGCGGGAGTAAACATGGCTTTACACCGTAGTCACAAACTGGTTATGTATAGAGAATGGATGGTACATGCAAGGGTGGAAATTAGCACTAGCCTGCTAGGCAAGACCAGTTTTGTTAATGTTAAAGGTACTCTAAGGACTAGTATATTTCAAACATTCTGGGGGGGTATTGCTATGTGTTATCCTTATTCAGGCTAGTAGACGTTCTTAGTTAATTGCAAAACAAAAAGTAGTGTAGTTGGTTATACAAAAACTAAATCTCCAGATCACTCCTGATTTGTATTTATGATTTAGTGAGTGAGTGAGTGAGTGAGTTGGGTTTAACGCCGCTTTTAACAGTATTCCAGTTATATCACGGCGTGTCAGCTTGATGTGGGAGGAAAGCCCGAAGTGATGCAGGTCTCAGACGTTTACCACTTCAGTGAAACCCACGAGCACGGGTATGGTGCTGATAAACCTAGAAACATAATTGGGGCGAACCGGGATTCGAACCCACAATCATAGGTTTCTGGCGTGCCCAAGGGACGCAACTCTGCACAGCGTATGATTTAGTGAGTATGGTTTTATGCCACTTTTAGCAATATTCCAGCAATATCACAGCGGGGGACACCAGAAATGGGCTGCACACATTGTACCCATGTCAGGAATCGAACCCGGGTCTTCGGTGTGACGTATTTATGATTTATTGTACAATACAGGAATAACTACATTTCAACTTCAAAACATCCTGTTCGTTGTAACTTGATATTGAAAAAAAAAAAGTGTCTTGTATCAGTGTCTTGAAAACAATGACATTTATTCATTCAATATACATGAAACAAATAATATACAACACAATTTTGAGTATGAGCTACAAAAATTAGACTACCAATATGATTCCAATATCTATTTTCCCAGACTATTAAAGAATATGAGATTATACAAGAGTGGAGCAGAGCTTGTACCACTTGAAGCTTTGGCTGAATGGAGATACTCACTTGCTCAAAGACAATACATTCTATTCACTATGTACAATGTAATGTAAAGTCTTATTCTATTATAATAATAACCTTCTTGAAGTTTGTACTATAGGAAATCATATCTCATTGAATACTGATTGTATTTGGCTTCCTTAGGCTTAAGAAATAAAAGAATTGGTTCTCAGGCAATGACTTTTGAAAATATAGTGTGGGCGGGTGGTGTTTTTTTTTTATTTTGGCTTGTTCAAGCTAGTATGTAATCAAATAAACAGTTGTGTACCATCAAACTGGGAAAGGGCCTGCCTACATAAAGAACCATACAAACTCCTATTGTCACCATGACCATAACATGAGATGTACAGTATAGCAGCGGGCATGTAGAAGGAAGTAACTGCATGCTATATTGATACTGCATTGTTGCTAAGTATTAGGATTTTTGTTTTTGTTTTTTTTTAAATGGAAATAAAAACAAAACATGAGGCAGACTTTATGATGATGCGGGCAGTGCCTGAGAACCAAGACTTTTATTTTTTTTAGCCTTAGCTTCCTTATTGTCTCCAGTGTGAAACTTGTGAGATTTGCAGCCACACAGACATCTCATGATGAATCCACTGTTTGAACATGCTATAATAATTAACCTTGTTAATTTTAGTATGGCCAAGGTCAACTTATCACAAAGACATTATGATAAAACAAATGTCTGATATAACAGGTTCATTAGCCAAACAATTCACTGTGAACAATGAAAGGATACTGGTCCATAATGTTGGGCAAATGTGTTGTGCAGGCAGTAGACCAATGTGAAACTATTAGGCCCCATCAGCGTCCTGACAACACCAAATGGTAGGAACTGATTTGCCCTACCGTAGTTGCTGTATTAAAGTGCCCTGCTCCAATAAGCGACCCCAGACCAACCTGTAAGTAATCTGTATAAGTGCCCCATGGTAAGACATTCCACATGTCTGTGTGTATATTACAGATTGTTTTACAGAAAGTAGCAGCACAGAATGGGTATATAATTGCCTAGTTAGTAACCATTATTGAAAAGTTTTAGTTTCACTACCACTCCATCTCGGAAAACAAATTCAACTCGTTTACGATTTGTATAAGCGCCCACCCCTCTTAGTAAATTTGCAAAGTGCTCAGGGCACAAAATATGGCAAATACGGTATATGAAAATCAAAGTGGACCCTGTGATTTCGATTAACTCATAAACCCAATTATAATCTTGAACTTTTCTTGACATAACATGGTAAGAAGTAAAAGTTATTTTAATATGACCTTTGTTACATCTTAAATATTCAAACCAAAACATGTAAAGATGTAAAGAACGTAAATGTCTTCCTTACTTTTGTTTTTTCATTTGCTAGAAAACAATGGATTAAGCAGTCATGGAAATGTTAACAGCCTAAGTAAATTCATACATTTCATTTATTGTTTGTAGGCACATCAGCAGACATTCAAATTAAGTCATACAAAACATGTGACATTGTTATCAACTCCTCAACAGGTGGTCAACCCCAACAATAACTTCATATGCATGACCACACACAAATGTGCACCCAGTACTCACAAATGTATAAAATGGACACAGAGAAAAATATGGTGCATCGCTTGGGACCCAGAATAATAATCATTGTACCAAATTCTTGACAAGAAATATAAAGCCCTGCAATAAAAATAATTATCAAATCTTACAGTACAGTACAGTTCAATACACCATTTCATTACTTTACAGAAGCCTCATATTTCCTGTCAGGACCCTTGAAATTAATTATTGGGGTCCCTGTACCCTAGTGAGGGTTAAACCCTGCATGATACCACTATTCTTGCTTGAAGAGATACAACCATACAAGTTGGGGAAAAGTATGATGCTGCATACTGAGCCTATTTTGTACAATCCATGACACAACAAAGTTTTATTAGTTACCATTTTTGGTGCCTTATCTATAACCATGTACAAACATTCTGACTTATGATGATCCAAAGATGCATCTATTTTTTGTGCTTGTAGTTTTATTCATCAAAGTAAAAACAATCAAACTGCTATTAACGACTTGCACTTAGGCATTGCATAAATTCACCTGATAATGATAGTGAATTCCATCATCATCATCATGTCAAATGAAGAATACTGCAGATCATCAACGACAGCATGCAATGGAAGACAAAATACTGCTTAGTCTTTCTACAAATGATGGATCTACCAGTTTTAGTTTCTCAACAAGTCCATTCTTCTCAATGTTAGACCATCCTTCGAACCACTCGGAGAAGAGACGCAACTGACAATGAAATACATCAGGATCTTCTTCCATGTTCAATCGTCTCATTGCAATGTCCAGTGCTTGTGGAAGCTGAGGCAAAGATTTGTCCACCAGTTCCTTGAGAAATTCTTCTCTTTGCAACACTGTCCATTTCTTGAACCAATGGACAGTCCACTGAATCTCTCGCTGCATCCAGATACTAGACATTATCAGATTTATGATCTCGCACTACACTTCATAAATTCAGTATGATGCAAATGATGATAAGTAAACATACATTCACTCTGACAGTAAATGATGGCATTCACACATTCAGTTTGAGGATGAAAATCTAAACTTAATATTCAGTTTCATTCAGCACATTCCACACATGTATGCAAATGAGTTAATGTTCAGCCAATGATACATGTACACATGGAATACAATGGTTAAGATGATCCCTGTAAAGATGCAACCTCTTCATTAAATCTTTGGACAAATAATGCATCCACCTCTGCCAGTTTTATGACAAAACTGTTGCGATCTTGTTGTGTCCATCCACCAAACCATTGATTGAAGAGTTTCAGTTGGCACTGGAATATACTTGGGGGTCTATCTTGGACATTCAGGGTTTTCATAGCATCAAACAATGCATCTACTTGGGGTGGGGCTGCCTTCTCTACCAAATCCTTGTAAAAGTCTTCCTTCTGCATTGGACTCCAGCACTGGAACCAGTGAGCAACAGTTTGTATTTCCTTCTCCACACAGGATGTTGACATTCTTTCCTGGTAAGTAAGGAATTCTTACATGCTGAAGTTTTACATATCCACCATCTAAAACATATTGAAAAGCAAATGAATCTCTACGAATCAGATAGCACCAGGAAACACAAAACAGCAAAGCATAACGTGAACAATTACTTTAGAGTGAAATCAAACAGAATTTAGTGTTTGTAAGTTGATTTTCTTACAGAGTAAATACTCTGACTTCTCTCAAAGTTTGGCTCTCAACTCTTGATCGAGGCCGTTTCTTCCTCAAAGAAAAGACAGAGTTATCTCTCTTATCCGGAAGTGAAAGGGAGTAATTATTATTGATCATATAATCCAAATTTCAGATTTCGTAGAATGCCCAAGCTTAAGTCATTATTGATCTGTTTTAAATACAATATATATTGTATACAGATTATATTGCTTTGAATTATCAACACTTAATATTCACTACATACACCTAAACTAAAAAATAACAGGTGCCCATTGAGTGTTCCCAAGGAAAGACAACCCTGCTGTATACAGCTGATACAAGATGGCGGCTTCTGTTGAATTGTCAGTTTTACTTCGGGATGGAAGCAAGAAACTGTTTACAAAACCAGCTGGACAAGGAGATCCACCCGTTGATATCAAAACTTTACAACAATCACTCTCATCTTTACAAACAGAAACTAACTCATACCTGACAGAAATAGTTGAACAAGAAAAGGACTTTTTAAGTAAGGCAGCAAATGGTCAAACATCTACAAAGTCAACAGGTAAATTATTTCGTTTCGTTTATATATATTTACATACATAACCAGAAGCGGCAGTATTGTCCAGCACTACCCTAAGCCCTTGGATTCCCTTTCCGGTTAAACACCCCTTTGGGTATTAGTGTGACCCTTTCCGATCCTACCTCACCCATTTAAACGAATGTTTCAAAAGTTAATCCGAAGTAGATCTAAGTCAGTATCTTTTCATAAACTACCAGGATCTCAGATATGAATGACCACAAACGCACGTGTGCACGGTTATTCCAAATCACAATGGTGAAGATACAAAAGGTTGTAATGAAAGAGTTTTCTGAAAGTATGAGTATATTTTTGACTCAATCTGACTTTCCATGGAGAGGTATGTAGCCTGCAACCTCGGGGTATCGCGGTACTTGTCATGTACGCTAAACGGAACAAAATGCACTCACTAACCTTGATGTTTATTCGTGTTCTCTGTATCAGATATTATTCATGTTATCAAACAATGCATATTTTACTGATAAAAGTTCATTATTTACATTAGTAGCTCCGAGTAAAAGCCGGGCCTCGCGCTCAGTTTGACAAGGGAGAGACCTCCATTGTATCGCGGTACAGGGAAAAGTTGTGTATGGAGGTCCGAATTGGACAAAAAGAGGACATAATTCTACCAACCACTTGGTATGATCATGCCAGACATCAGTGATTTGTCCAGACAAGTGCAAAGACAGCACAAGTAAAATTCTAAATGTTTTATCAGCAATAGGTATTCAATGCATTTTTTACCGAAAAGTAAGAGAAAAATATTTTTATAAGTCAACATCAAAATAACAGAAATGATATTTTAAGATTGTTTTTAAAAAAATGGATGACAATAATTTGTCACAAAATGGAAAAATGTTAAAAGTCAACAATAAATATATAAAAAACACTCCTAGTATGCCCAAAATATGTATTTATCTTTTGGTTACAAGTGAAGAACGTATTTCTAAGTTTGGCATTATGGCCCTTATGATCTCCCAATAAATTCTGGGCACAGAGCGGGAAAAAATGTTCGGACAACGTAACTTCCGTTACCTTATTAGTCGCCATGAATATGCAGATGATCTAGTTCGGGTCGATAGAGAAAGTTTACTTTGGGAACTACGGGTTATATCGTTGGCCATTGATAGATGGGGGTAAGGCAATATTACAAAAGATGCCAGATATATGTATCAACGCATTAATAACTCCTAACTTACAGCAGACGGAACATTCCGAGGAAATTGAAATTGTTTACGAAGTGTGCACTTCCTGGTTACTGATTAGCATTAATAGACAGCTGCCAAGAGGCGTGTCCCGTGTGAACTATCGGAAATCACAAATGCCGCGATACGATGAATGCCGCGGTACCATGGGGTCCGAGTATAAAGACTATACAAATGTTATCTTTGGTCACAGACTTGCTGTGGCTTGATTTTCTCTTGAAGTTTGGAAGAATTCAATTTTCGTATATTTTAGCCATAGTTTTGGTCCAAAAACTGACAGAAACAGAGTTAAAGAAGAAAAACTTGTGGACTGTAATATGAACACATCTGATGGCTTCCATAACATAAAAGGTTCCAACTTGACAATTTCAGCATGTCCAATGTGCCCTTTCATACCTAAATCCTTTTGACATGTTACCTGCATGTTGACAAGTGCTGGTAAAAGCTATAGATCTATATGCGTCAGCTGTCATCTTTGACCTATAGAATCTGTAAAGATATTTATTTGATGTGGGCATAGTTAAAATACTATTCCTACAAAGGTCTGGTGAAATAGTTGTGTCTTTTATTTCAGACAATAAGGAAAGTGATGATGATGATGATGATGATGATGATGATGATGATGATGAAGAAAAAGATGGAGAAGAGCCAGCAGAGAAGAAACAGAAAACTTGATATTATGTTCAGACTGTGTTCCTGTGTAAATATTCCAAGGATGTAATAAGTTCCAGCCTCATTAAAATCAGATCTTTAACCCTGATACAATACCTCTCTGGGTGAAGATCAGAGGACAACTCCGTAGGTCATGTCAGGTGAACTTTCTAATCATCCAATCAGCGTTGAGGCTTCTAAATGTTTGATAAGAGTGAGATAAGCATTTGTACCTGCATACCCAATTTCTGATTTCTGTATCTGAAGATGGAGTAAATAAATTTGTTCCGAGTGTAAATGATAAATGTTGCAGCATTATATATCATTGTTGATATTTTATTCACCCTGTCGTATCTCAGCGCCATGGCATCTTTAACCATAAAAGGATTACCTTCAAAGGAATGTTTGCATTCTGTGGGGTTTGTTTTGCTAAAATCGAATTTCTGAATCAAGATGGTGTATAAATGAAACCAAATCCTTTCAGAAAGCTCACATCTGATTTCTCCTAGAACCCATGATTTCTTCATTTAGATTGGGCACACAAAGTTCTGTCCTGTCTGTCGAGACCTTCTATAGAGGTGTCCTCAGATCGTGATGCATAGAAGCGTGGTATTGGAGTAAAAGATCAGATTTAGATGAGACTGTAATGAGTGCATTACATTTTGGCTGAAATGTATGCTATACCCACTGAAATCTTTTTCGAGGAAGACAAGAGGTAGGGTAGCCTTGTGATAAAATCATTTGCTTGCATGATGAAGATCCTGCTTTGAAGTTTGCACAATATGTGAAACCCTGATGTGGTCTTTCTGGAATATTGCTTAAAGACTTGCTCATTCTTGCAGATTACTGTGGATTGTTCTACACTGGACTCTGGGCTGAAGCTGACACTCAGGTCCATTCAGGATATATAGATAGAGTTACAGTGCTAAAGAAGGGATGTAGGTTTCACTGCCTGGACGATAAAGGCCTTGAGTATTGCAAACAAGGGACAATCTCATTACTCTTTTATTTTTAATGACTAGAACATTAAAAGTGGCAAAATGTATATTCAGGCAAGCACAAACAAAATACCATTTGATAAAAAAACCTGTTTCTGTTAGAATTACATGGATGCTTTTATAGACTGACTTCATGAAAATGAATAGTGTACTGTAGGTACATCTATATTCACAACATTTTATATGGGTATTAATTTTACCTGGATGAACGGTTCACTGTCTGTTTGGGTTGTCTGGTATAGAGAAATGACAGACAGAGGGCTGTGATCAAATACAGCTGTGACCGTGGTGTTATTGCTGTAACCATGGTGGTATTGCTGAACATGCTGCAAAATCCCATTCACTCATAAATAAAAATAAAATAAAAATAAAAACACCATTGTAATATCACTATATTGTCGTAGTGCTTCATTATATTTATAGAATGCGATTTTATTTAACCACAGTTACATTTTCTGATAACATACACTTGATGTGTTCATAGTGCTGGAACTTGTGACTCAAGTGAATAAGGTTAAAGCGTTTCGCTTGTCACGCCCAAGACCCGTGTTCGATTCTCCACATGGATGCAATGTGTGAAGCCAATTTGTGGTGTTCCCCGCCATGATATTGCTGGAATATTGCTAAAAGCGGCATAAAACCATACTCACTCACTCAAGTGAATAATAGCCAAGTTTGGTGGAAAACATTTACTGCAAGGGTGGCTTCTAAATCATAGGATTTGAGAATGTGTGAGTCAGGCTCTGTTGTGGAAATGAACCACAATGAAACCACATTAATCAGCAAGCCCTGCCTACCGGACGAATATAGGAGAGAATGCTTACATGTATACTTGGTTGGTTGTTTAATGCTGCACTCAGCAATATTCCAGCTATATGACGGCGGTCTGAAAATAATCAAATCTGGACCTGACAATCCAGTGATCAATATCATGAGCATCGATCCACGCAATTGGGATAGATGACATACATCAACCAAGTCAGCGAGTCTGATCACCCGAACCCGTTAGTCGCCTTTTACTACAAGCAGAGTCACCTTTTACGGCAAGCATGGGTTGATGAAGACCTATTCTACCCTGGAATCTTCACGGGTTGAACCACAATGAAACCACATTAATCAGCAAGCCCCGCCTACCAGACGAATATTGGAGGGAATGCTTACATGTATACAAAGTGACATTACAATGTAACAATGGTTCATCAATCCAGATGATTGATTTTATTGGGAACGCTTCTGTTGAGATTCATAGGGTTTCAATGTATGAAGAATCGTGTTTTGTAATGAGTTGTATAAACTATAGGGCTTGAAAATAATATTGTTGTTTCACAGCATTTTCATCATCAATGTGTTTGTTGAAGTAATTCAATAACAAAGAAAACAGGAGAAATATGTTCTTTGTCCTGGACTCCTAATGATCACTTAAGCATGCTCACCCAAAGTAACATGTACTGCTCAAATGAAGTTAAAGAACACACGTTTTTCATATTACTATCGTTATTCTGTTATGCGAGAACATATTTACTATAGTCATATGAAAAAATCGGGTGTTCTTTAACTTCATTTGAGTAGTATACTTGATTTGGTCCCCGAAGCACCTTGCTTGACAAGGATATAAGGATCTATACAGAAATGTCGCCTTTACAGTAATCAAAGAAGTTGTTATGCATAAATTGTGTCTACTTTGTCATCCGTCAGCTTCTTAGTAATGCCTATCAAACAACACAAAGTACCTATAAATAGCCTACTCAAGAACGCTGTGATGATGGAGCTCAGCCTCAAATCAACCATCATCAGAGATCTGAAGGTAACTTTTTTACATAAGCCTCAACTATGTTAAACCAATTTACAATGAAAACAAAGCAGTATTTCTGATTATGAAATATTTATTCCATGTCCTCACTACACACTACAGTCTGACATGTGTATGGGCAAAATAACTTGTACACATTCACCCATAACAAACAATTCACAAAAGTGATAATTCTGTAAAAATGTCTGATCTTAAAAATGAAATCTTGTTATATATATGCTGCCAGAAAACAACTGCTGTCTTGTAAGGCACTGGCACATCACCAATGACGCTGGATTCACAACCTCATGGACAAAATGTTCAATTTGGGTTGTAAATAACAATGCATTTCTTTTTTTCACTAGAATGTGATCATCTGTCTGCTAAAGACCTGAGTATCATAGTGTTCATGTCTACACAACTCTTGCATATACAGACCTGCTATATGTAGGTAATATCATGTAAATACACATCACAACAATAAAAATGATCTACAAAACAAACAATTTCAGTTAATCTACATCGAGGTTCAGATTCATCTGCCAAATATAAGTATAAAATATTTCAAATGGTGAGTGTAGAAGAAAATGTTAGAATAAACACCTCAGTCCAGGATTAGTACACAACCTTGCATACATAATTACCATCGGAATCATTGAGCAGTAAGCAAGATGATTACCGGTAAGTGACACCCCGGGACAGGTACCCTCATGTTTGTCCAAAGGAAGACAAGGATTACAGATGCAAGGGTAGGTCTGTACATCATAAACAGGGCCTTGTGTAAATACTGCTCAACAAACTTAGGAAAAATAATGACCTTATAACTGAAACCGTGGATCTGCATAATATACTAATCAAAAGAAGTTAAAGAACACCGGATTCTTTCATTCATGCATTTCTATAGTTGACATGGTATGACAGATTAGCTGTAGTAATATGAAAGAATGCCATGACAAATTAACTATAATAATTGGAAAAAAATGCCATGACTTATTAACTATAATAACTGGAAAAGAAATGCCATGACAAATTAACTGTTATAATAGGAAAGAATCCCTTGACAGACAAAATACAGTAATATGAAAGAATTTGGTGTTCTTTAACTTCTTTTGAGTCGTATGCGTTCAGATGATGAAACAGCGGGAGTGATAGTTTGCTCATGGGTCAGTTGTCCTGGCGCACTGACAATTACACACAGCAGGAACTTCATATACAACATGGAACACTCCTTAACTCCCGTGTTCAAATGGAAATTAATTCCTACATTGCATGCTTAATACATACTGTCCCAAGATCCGTGTTTACACTGATTTCGTTTGTCTTGCAGTAGGGTGTATGGAATTGAGATATACCGGTAGGCTCTGTGCAAGGAGGGAAGTCATGTGTTACTTGTGTTATGTGTCATGTGTGAGCAGATGATTGACATGTTATTTGACCTGATTTAAAAATCCTTGGACTGCCAATTCGTCGAACACAGGCCCCCCTTTAGAGGAGGATCAGCACACAAAGCCTGGTACATCACACTGTTAAGTACTTGTAAATTGTATGTATCTAAACTAACAATTGCAATCAATATATGGAAGCAAATACAAAGTTAAACAAATTATATGGACAATGTTAAAATTATAACCTTCACCTGAAAGTGTAAACAATTCATTCTAAGATGGGAGAATTCAAATAAAATTCAACCCCTTTTCAAGATGTATGAAATATCAAGATGCATGAAATTCTTGAGACGATGATATTGTGAGTCTGCACAGGTAGCTTTGAAATGTAATATGTTGGTATCACAGGGTGAAACTGAAAAGAGCATTGATGCAGTTGTCAGTAAACGAGTTCTTCATGGAAACAAGATAGTCTCAACAATTAACCAGTACTAAAAAGCCTCATTATTGGGTTACCAAATCACTCTATTTGGTCTCTCATTGTTTTTATAATAGATTATTATGCTGAGAAACAACAGTCCTGAGGGGATTCGGGGAGTACCCCATACTAAAGTACAGTACCCCATGCTAATGTACAGTACCCCATGCTAATGTACAGTACCCCATGCTAAAGTACAGTACCCCATGCTAATGTACAGTACCCTATGCTAATGTACAGTACCCGATGCTAAAGTACAGTACTCCATGCTAAAGTACAGTACCCTATGCTAATGTACAGTACCCCATGCTAAAGTACAGTACCCCATGCTAAAGTGCAGTACCCCATGCTAATGTACAGTACCCCATGCTAAAGTACAGTACCCTATGCTAATGTACAGTACCCTATGCTAATGTACAGTACCCCATGCTAAAGTACAGTACCCCATGCTAATGTACAGTACCCCATGCTAAAGTACAGTACCCCATGCTAAAGTACAGTACCCTATGCTAAAGTACAGTACCCCATGCTAATGTACAGTACCCCATGCTAATGCACAGTACCCTATGCTAATGTACAGTACCCTATACTAAAGTACAGTACCCCATGCTAAAGTACAGTACCCCATACTAAAGTACAGTACCCCATGCTAATGTACAGTACCCTATGCTAAAGTAGTATGAATCATTGCGTAATCAGTCAATCCCTGGTTTGTCTGGGCCAAGATTAGACATAACTGGATTCAAAACCTTTGGCAGCCTGTGCATTGTAGGTGTATCAACTGTATGCTGTGTCAGCCTTTGTCCAAGGCTTATCATAAGGTTGTCATTTCAAGGGTCAAGTTAGGTGGTTGGACTATCACATTCACAGGCCAAGAATTGGAATTATGCTGACAAATGCATAGCACAACAAACAAAACATCATAATCATCACCACGAACATCATGTATTAATAATTATTCTCTCACACATGAGCAATTATAAAGTATCATGGTTAGGGACCAGTCATTTATTACAGGGGTTGGAGGGCAGGAGAAGACTCAGGGGAGGCTCACCAAAACATTCGACAGTCTCAGACTATCTACTGCTAGGAGACGGTCATAAAATATATTAACACACCTTTGGGGAGGGTCATAAAAAAAGACATAGCTTTGTTTTTTGTTTGTTTAATATTCCAGCTCTATGCCGGTGGTCTAAATAATCGAGTGGATCAGACAATCCAGTGATTGACATCATGAGCATCTATCCACACAATTGGGATCGATGACATGCATCAACCAAGTTAGTGAGCCTGACCACCCGATCCCATTAGTCACCTCGTACGACAAGCATAATCACCTTTACCTGCAAGCATGGGATGCTGAAGATCTATTCTACCCCGGATCTCCGCAGGTTAAAAAAGACATTGGGAGAGTCATCGAAAAAGATGACAAGCATTAACAGTGGGTAATAATGTTTTGTACATTAGTACATTAGTGTATTTTCAAAGACCTCTGACCCACCCACCCTTGTAATAAATGACTGGTCCCTTGACCAGGGTTTTATGTGTCAACATACATGCTGCCGTATTGGATAACAAGAGTAAAGTCAGTAAACTGAGCAAGTATGATACTAGAATTAGGTTTCAAGTTCACATCAATAATGTTACCGTAAAGCCACAAGAAAATGTTCAAAAGTCTGTCAATTTTTGGAGTTGCCCATCCTGTTGAAGAGTTGGCCATCCAGTTGAAGAAACATCAACAAATTTTAATATATATTTTAGTGTTTGCATGTTCTAGATAATATATATGTAATATAAGAATATTTACAGTATTAGAATAACATATCACAAATTTGCTGAAGTTTAGAAAAGTTCTTGTTAAAAACCAAAATGTCTAATATATAAAAGAATATCAGGCCATTTGTCATCGACCAGTACCTGTATTGAAATATATTATATTTATACAAGAACAGTGAATATTTGACATGAATAAGTATACAATCACCTGAATGTACCGTGAGAATGATTGAGAACATTTTAATTATATAAGAAATTTTAGGTCGCTGCCATTCAGAGTATAACAATATCCAGATAGAAGATAAAACAGCTTAAAATCTTAAGGACTGCAATTGTGCATTAAGATTTCTTAAAAAAAGATGTAAAAATAAATTCAAATTAATGGTACAGTCCACTTTTTCTGTTCACACAAATATATACATTTTCGATGCAGTAACATTAATAGTCTTTTATGTGTGTAGGGGCGGTGGGGTAGCCTAGTTGTTAAAGCCTTCGCTCGTCACGTTGAAGACCCGGATTCGATTCCTGACATGGGTACAGTGTGTGAAGGCCATTTTTGGTGTCCCCCGTCGTAATATTGCTGGAATATTGCTAAAAGCGGTGTAAAACCTAGTCACTCACTTTTATGTGTGTAAAAGCTGAGTATTGTATTATGCACATAAAAAAATAGGCCTTGAGCGTGATGCATCAAAATGTGTATCAAAGCCGAGATTAATCAACATTCCAGGCTCCAAATGTACATATTATTGATCTTGAATAAATGAATACAACACTTAATGAGGTAGAGATGACATGCTGCGGTTAGAGTGGGTATTTTAGTATTGCATAAGAAGAAATTCCAAGAGATCGATACATTTTGGTTTTTTATTTATTTCATTGTTTAACTAGACTGCAAATTGATGTAAAAACATCAAGTGGTAGATCGCCATCTGCACCTAGCACACAATATACACTATCAATTTACTTTTGAATATACTGTCGATCATGTCTGATGGCATGTGAAAGGGTTGAAAACGCCCAAGATTGACACTCTTGTATTGCCACTTAATAAGATTGGATCGTATTGAAAACTGACATCACGTTATGAACCTACTGACACTTTTGCCTATGGTATTGTAGGTATCTTGCTGTATCATGGGAACCTTGGGAGAGGAACTACTTTCATGTGAGACCTGCTTGGGAGCTTTAAAGATTTGATTTGTAAGACCTGCTTAGAGGTTTTATATTAAATTGTAAGACCCAGGTTTTACAGTCGAATTGTAAAAACAGCCTTTTAATGTGCATCTAATGTTGATTTCTGACTGGTTAAAAGTCACTATTTTTTTCATTTGAAAATTCCATGAATCAAACCTGCAACCTCACATATCATGTTTGGTGTTGTAACCCATTGCGTTACCACTGAGCCATCAGGGCCCCGACAAGTCCAAATTTACTACCTGTACCCACATCTCTATTACCAGACCCTACCAGGGTAGCCCCTGTAGGACTCAAGAGATACATATAGGTACAAAATGTCAAGTTAGGAATAGTTTGACCATAGCCCTGAAAAAATGTATTTACATGTACACATATAAAACGATCTGGTCATGCATACACTGAAGTTGACTTAAGTTTAATCTTTATTCAAATGTATAAAAGTCAGAAAGATTGCCTACATAGTCAGAAAGAAATGCGAACATTAGTGACTTAGTGTAACCATGGAGTTCTAGATATTTTTTTGTCATTAAACAATACATCACGTGACTTACCACGGGTCTGGGTAGTACTGTGAGTACCTGGGTCCTACTCAGGACCCACCCGACCTGAGTCCTCGAGTTACCCGTCCCAGCCCTACAGGGCAGGTGATGAAAGGGTGGTTAATCTTACATCACTGACTTCACTTGTCGACATGCTGCACATGGTCTTTCTCTGGCCTGCTGTCATCTACTTCATTTTATACTACGACTATGCTATTGTTTCTCTATAAGGTATGCAAATGTTTCTTATTCTTTGTGGTATTTCCTTTATTTAGACAGTTTATAAGTTGGAAAAAGTTGGATTTGGGTTGAAAATGAAAATGCAGGTAAGTGTTGATGCGGAAAAACTGTCCTGGAGTGAACCAATTGTTCTGCCACAAACAGTAAGTCACATAATCCTCGCCAACAACCTCCATGATTTCCCCAAAAGAAAACTAACAGAAGCAGTCCACATTCGCCGCCACAACCCATCAATCAACAGAGATCAAGGCTATTTCATCCCATCCGCCTACTATGAACTCATCAAACAATAATCACCTGTTTATTGGCTTCATGCCCCATTGGCTTCTAGCTATTTGTTTTCTGTCCATCGTGTTGTGATAGCATCATCCTTGTTGTCACACCTACCTATGTTATCCCACTCATGTATGCCCTTGTTGTTACTGTTAATCCTCTACTGTTAATCCTCTACTGTTAATCCTCCACTTGCTATATATATTCTGCACTATGTCCCTCATTCAGACTTGCTTGACAACGGTATAAGGATCTATACCGAAACGTCGCTTTTTACAGTATTAAAGAAGTTGTTATCCATAAAATTGTGTCTATCTTGACATAATAATGGAGTATGTTGTATTGTGTTCCACAAGGTAATGATACAAATTACAACATCATATTGCTTCTGGTTGCTCGCAAAACAAGATGACTGCAACTGACCAATCAACTTAAAGAATTTAACCCTTGAAAATAGAACTCTTTGTCCTTGATGCAGAATATTTCAAGAAGCATTGCAAGAACACACTTAACAAACCAGAACCAACCAAGGACAAGCAATTGTTGTCAAAAAGACATTAAAAATGTCCCAATGTTGTCAATCAGTCTACAATTGTTTCCTACAAGAGTGTACAAAACATGAACCACAAAGACAATTTATGACCATCACAAACCATATAACACAATCTCATTAAAATCAGATCTTAGTTCTCGCTACCACTAAACCAAGATCTGAGGACATCCCATTACGGGTCATGTCAGACCGACCTTTCGCGAACTTTGACCGACCAATTGAATGACTGACAAGAAGTCGACATTAGCCAATCAGAAGGCAGCTTTCTCATGCGTACGGCACTAATTTCAAATTGACGACTACGCTTCGAAACATATTTTGACAAATTCTCGCTTAAAAATTTGAAACCTGAACAAAAGAACATTCTGGAATGGCTAACAGATGGTCTAGACTGTATGGATTCAGTCCTTAAGCCCGTAACTATTGTTCGGAATACCCCGTGTTAAAGTTTTCGAGGCTGCATGATTAGGAATCACATTCCGACTGTCACTTTCATGATCTGGTAAGCGATGCTCTGATTGGTCGGATGAAAGGTCGTTCTGACGTCACCCCAAATGGGATGTCCTCAGATCTTTGTTTAGCGGTAGCGAGAACTAAGATCTGATTTTAATGAGATTACATATAACATTACCATTATTTAACAACAAAATCCCCATCCACTGTTTTTAATGACACTATGAAGATATGTGGTTTTAATGTTTATGGGTTTTTTTCTATTTAACCCTCCTCTTATTCTCTCCATCCCACCAACCCTATTCAACATGGTTTCTAAATGTCAGATCTCTTGCCTCCAGTATCAAGGCTATGGTATTCCATGATCAGTGAAGTCACAATCAATGTAGCACTTCTCTGGATTAGTTCCCGGAGGTTGTGAGTTGGTTGTGGATCTTGATGATGGTATCAACAACATCGGGCTCAGCAAGGGTTGACACGTCTCCAAGTTCATCCAGCTTGTCTGCAGCGATTTTTCTTAATATGCGTCGCATTATCTTACCTGATCGAGTTCTTGGCAAGTTTGGTGTTACCTGTTATATAGATGTGACAATTATCAAGCTAATTGTGTTGTCAGTATGAGTTACTTCTTCCTATATCAATTAAAAATCTTTCTTTTTTCATTTTTCAAGTACAGTCGTGCCTCGTTTATACGGACACTTGCGTCATTTCACAATTCGTCCGTATAAACGAATTTCCGTATAACTGAAACCAGCTTCTTACTGAAAGAGTTACTTCCCTTCAATTATGCAACTCATGACAGATGACAGAGCAAACAGATACATCCACTCAATCTTTATTCAAGACATACACGTTTAAAAAAATCTGTCTCTGCCCTCCACAGACTCCATATTTATCGAATGGGATTACATGTACAATAAACAAACTCGTCTCAAACGTAACTCCGTGTCACTTGGTTAATTGACTTCTCACGAATCAAAGGATTACCACCAGCGGAAGTGTATTGTCCGGGTAAGTGAGACAATTTTGTGTGCATTTCAGTGTTTTGTGTATGAAAATGACCATCCGGTTCCGGAAACTGAATTTCCGTATATACGGGTAAATTTATATAGTAATTATTTCGTTTTGAATGAAAATCGTCCGGGAACCGAGGTTTCCGGATATCTGAAGTCCGTATAACTGTAGCAGTAACTAGCCAATGTGACTTCCAAGAAGCATATGGTGACTTTAACCTTTTCTGAATAGCAGTCAAACTATAATCCAATGGAGAATCTGTTCTAATCCATACCTAATCTTTAATTATTAGGACAAAAAATCAACACACATTTTGTGGGGTCCCTTGCATTTTCACAGGATACCATCAACAACAATGTATGAAGTCTCTCCCTATCATTCTGTTGTCAAATAGATATAGTACAAATAGTTGGTTGGTTTGTTTGTTTGTTGTTTAACTCTGCACTCAGCAATATTCCAGCTATATGACAGCAGTCTGTAAATAATCAAGTCAGGACCAGACAATCCAGTGATTAATATCATGAGCATAGTCGCCTTTTACGGCAAGCATGGGTTGCTGAAGACCTATTCTATTGTACCCCCATGTAGAAGTAGTAAAGCAACTGACCAGTATTACATCTGGCACAGCATAAGCCGCAATGTTGGTCTTCACAATGACCTTGAGCTGCTCACAGATCTCCTTCTTGGACATCTTCACGTCATCCTTCAGCGTCACATAGGCATACACACCTGCACACACGCAAAATACAGGGTCCGACATGGAATCTAGTCAGTCTGGAGACTTGTGACAATCTACGTACCAGTACACACAGACGTCTTACATGAGACATGGAATCTAGTCAGTCTGGAGACTTGTGACAATCTATGTACCAGTACACACAGACGTCTTACATGAGACATGGAATCTAGTCAGTCTGGAGACTTGTGACAATCGATGTACCAGTACATATAGACGTCTTACATGAGATAGGGAAACTGTTAGCAGTGATAGAAATGTAATGTACCAAAGGGCACTACGAAAAATGTTATGGTACGTCCAAACTCATGAAAATGAGATCCTTTCATCCAAAACGACACCTCTCTACGTGATGACACCTCCATAGGAGATCACGTCATGTGAACTTCATAATCAACCAATCAGCATCGAGGCTTCGAAATTCTTGGTACAAATGAGTGAAGCATTCAGATTAGCATTGTTTCATTTCTGTATCCCGAAAACAACCTTTTTGAATGCACATACCAAAGACTATCTGCTTACCGTATTCGACGTAATAAGCGCCCAGGGCGCTCTTAAAATTAGAAATAGGTACTCTTATATTATATTATTTTGGTGAAAAATGAAAGAGGAGTTGAAAGAGTTGGTGAGTTGAAAGATAAATTTCGTGGTTTATGCTGACAGACAGAAATGTTTATGTACGACAGATATATTTTCCCAGAATTTAATTGTCCATAATTAAGGGTGCATATAACACACGAGTGTGTATTATACGCGAATAAATAAGTCTTGTGTACATTGATCAATCGGAAGGGGTGCTAATTGGGATTGTTCACCAGCCAATAAATCAGCAAACATCGCCTTTGGCGCTTATTACGTTGAATACGGTATATTATTATGGACTATCTATACCCCCTGTCCTTTCCCAGTTCCATGGTATCCACCCAACAGGGAATACCCTTGCAGGAATATTTGTGTCCTCTGGACGTTTTCTTTTATTGCATCCAAATTTCTGAATTGAGATGGTGAAGAAAAAGAAGCCAAATTGTTTTAGAAAACTGACATCTGATTGGCTCAAGAATCAACACATGCTTCATTTAGACCGGGTGGTCAAAGTTGGCTCAGAGTTCACATGACACAACCTCCTATTGAGATGTTGCAAGATCTTCATGCAGAGAGGTATTGTACCGGAAGAAAAGATCTGATTTCAATGAGATTGATGTGTGCCCTTTTGAATTTAGGTGTGGCAAGAAGAGGAATAATTATTATGTACAGTAAATTACATTTATAATAAACACGCTTATAACAAACTGGTGGATACAATGAACTGTTTTTTGGTCCCATCCATCTGCTATCATATATGCTGTATATGTGCTTATAACAAACTACAGTTAAAACGATCTTAGTGGTCCCTTTGGGCTTGTTTTAAACCTTAGTTTACTGTATCATTAAATTTGGAGTATGCCACTATGAGCTATTTAACAAGCAGTTGTCATCTAGAAAATAGCGTCTGAATGCCCAGGTTTATCCACACTCATTGGCTGATCAGAAAGTTCCCCCAATGTAACCTCTTATGGAGGGTTCAGTCTTCACACCACTGGTTATTGATATGGAGTAAAAGATCAATCTCCTTAAAATCAGATCTTAGTTCTCTGAGGACATCCCATTAGGGGTCACGTCAAAACGACCTTTCATCCGACCAATCAGAGCATCGCTTACCAGATCATGAAAGTGACAGTCGGAATGTGATTTCTAATCATGCGGCCTCGAAAACTTTAACACGGGGTATTCCGAACGATAGTTACGGGCTTAACGACTAAATCTATACAATCTAGACCATATATTAGCTTTTCATGAATGTTCTTTTGTTCAGGTTTCAAATGTTTAAGCGAGAATTTGTCAAAATATATTTCGAAGCGTAGTCGCCAATTTGAAATTAGTGCCATAAAGCACGAGAAAGCTGCCTTCTGATTGGCTAATGTCGACTTCTTGTCAGTAATTCCATTGGTTGGTCAGAGTTTGCGAAAGGTTGGTCTGACATGACCCGTAATGGGATGTCTTCAGATCTTTGTTTAGCGGCAGCAAGAACTAAGATCAGATTTTAATGAGATTGGTAAAAGATCGGATTTTAATGAGATTGGTAAAAGATCGGATTTTAATGAGATTGTAACTCCACATGTAATCTCTGCATTGCATCATGGCCCTGGGTACCGGTCCACATTGCGATCTTAGGGCTACGACTGTTGTAAGTCCCATTCTTTAACACAGGCTGACTATCGTCCTAGACAAAGTAGAAATGATTTATGGATAACAACATCTTTATTTACTGTAAAGGCAACGTTTCAGTATAGATCCTTATACCGTTGTCAAGCAAGGCTGAATATATATTCTGTACCATGCTCATTATGCAGCCTTGCTTGACAACAGTATAAGGATCTATACTGAAATGTTGCCTTTACAGTAAATAAAGATGTTGTTATCCATAAATGATCTGTACTTTGTCATCCGTCAACTTCTAAGTAATGTCTATCAAACAATTTATCATCATAGAGCTAACGTCGCTTTGTGGAACGGGACCCTGGCTTCGGTACTTCCTACCTTCTCCCTTGATTTCATGTGGGAAGCCAACCACTGCGGCTTCTGCGATGTCAGGGTGTTCTGTCTGGAAAACAAATCACAACAAATCACAACAAATCACAAATTAATAATTTTTTTTATATATTGTCCAGTTTGATCATTTGTAATATCTCGTACATATTATTATGATATTCTAACATCTCATATGTTATTATTATATTCTAATATCTCATATATAGTATTATCATGTTCTAATATCTCATATATATATCATAATATTCTAATATCTCATAAATATTATAATATTATAATATCTTAATATCTTATATATATTATAATTATATTCTCACAATAATATCTTCAATCTCTGCTGTGCCCAGTCTGTGGCCAGTGACATTCAAGACATCGTCCATCCTGCCTGTAATCTGGTAGTATCCCTCATCAGTCCTGTGTGCACCATCACCCGAAAAGTACAGCCCTGCCCAATCAAACATGTGTTAAAGAAGACCAAACAATACATATTTCGTCTGTGACTTGTATGTCAATGGTCATAACAGGGTAAACTAGAAAGGTGTTTGTATTACATGTAAATACAGAGGCAGCCCTATCCTCACCATTTCCTGAATGCCCCTAAACTTTCCCATCGGAAACATGAATCATGAACCATGTCAACTTCACCACATTAGACAACAGTTGGTTTGTTTGTTGTTTAACACCGCAGTCAGCAATATTCCAGCTATATGACGGCAGTCTGTAAATAATCAAGTCTGGACAAGGCAATCCAGTGATTGACATCATGAGCATCAATCTACACAATTAAGATACAATGACATGCAACAACCAAGTCAGCGAGCCCGACCATCCGATCCTGTTAGTTGTCTCTTATGACAAGCATAATCGCCTTTTATGGCAAGCATCGGTTGCTGAAGACCTATTCTGACAACTTAAAACATGACCTATGCAGTACATCTTTGAAACAGAAAGAGCCTGTGCCTCTAGCTACCTTAATAAGAAAGTTATGAGCATTTCCAATTACCTTGATTCTGTTTGGGAAAACACATGCCAAATGCAGTACAACTTGAAAACAGAATGTCCTATGCCTCTAGATATCTTGCTAGCAAAGTTATGAGCACTTCCGGTCTAATGACATCACTTCTGGTTCAGGACAACATATGGCCTAAGCAGAAAACCTCGAAAACAGAATGTCCTATGCCTCTAGATTTCTTGATAAAGTAATAAGCACTTCCTGTTTCAAAGCATGACTTCTGGTTTAGGAAAACACATGCCTAATGTACTACAACTTGGAAACAGAAATTTCTATGCCTCTTGTTACCTTAATAACGAAGTTACAAGAACATGTACATAAAGTTTCGTCAAATTCCAATCCTAAATGCTGAAGATGCTGTGTTCGGACAGCTACTTGCCATGGAGTGACCTTGACCTTCAAGTCATTCAATCACATGTGTGTACATTACTTGCTGCAAACTATGGTTGTGTTACAAATATTACGTCTCCATACCATAAATACAAACTTTCTGAAAGGAAATATTAACAAGTAATTTCATGATTGAATTACCTTGACATTTGACACAATCATGACATATGATAGGTGATGACTTTGTTACTCTGAGTTCATCTTATCCGATTGAAAAAAGTTTCATGAATTAATCTGACACTTCATGAAATTTGACCCATAGTGACCTTGAGCATATATGGAGGTCACCCAAAAGTTGATGCGATTGGGACACCACTTGAGTGATCATGTATACTGAGTTTATTCAAATTCCAAAATACTTTAGTTCCACTTACATCTAAATTACACTTGAGCTCTACCTACATATACAGTGCATTGATGTCTACTGACATAGATAACTGATACTGACCAGGGTAGGGCTTGAAGTATGTGTCCTGGTATCGGTCGTGGTCACCATAGATGGTGCGGGTCATTCCGGGCCACGGCCTCTTGATGCACAGGGCCCCTGTGACATCATTCCTTGTCAACTCCTGACCCTATACCAGAAGAAAGGACATTCTGTTGGATTCGTGGACTCTCATATAAACTCATAATTCAAATTAGCATTAAAATTCATCTCTTAACAATTCACATCATCACTTTTTTTGATGCATCACAATTTTCGGTGTCATGTTACCAGTATAATATTGTGACGTCATATGGCTGCTGTGGCAGCCATATTTGAAATCGGTTTTGAACAAAATTGGAACAAAATCAGGAGTCAGCACAAGGCTCGATTCAAGGAACTTGACTTAAATTGCATGATCAATTACATGGGATTTAGTGATGTAGTATGGTAAATAAACTTTAGAGGTATTGAGTTTGTTCAAAGATGGATTTTGAGTGGACAAGTAGGGATTAGTCAGACAAAGGTTGACATAAATATAAGGTTGCATTTTTCAATAATAGGTAACACTCATATAGCTAATTCAAGCCCTCAAGTGGAAATAAGCATGTGAACTTTCAGATTCATTGGTCAAGTGGTGTCAGATAGATGCTGCTTATAGTGCAAAGAAATGCAGTTTGGGAGAATTTAGGAGGAAGGTCAAAGTGCAAAGGTCAAAACCAGGTAAAAAAAATAACAGAACAGATCTGTTGTGCCTCATTCCTAAATACACATGTACCAAAAAAAGTTACATATTGAACACAAAAAAAGTTTCAGCTTTCAGTGTGGTCAAAGTGCAACAGCCATAAATATGTTTTTAAACATGGCAAGCCTTACTGTAAATTGGATTTAAACCCCTTGAACAAATTGGTGCGTCATCCAAGTTTAAGTTTCATCGGTCCAGTGCTTTCTGAGGGGGAGATGTTCATGACAGCCGGACAGACCACAACACAAGCTCACCTGGCTGAAAGTCAGGTGAGCTAAACAACACAACAAATAATATAACCTGTATCAAGGTACAGATAATGAGTAACAAACATTTGAGCCATACCTCAGTGAAATGAATACATCCAACAACTGGTTACGCCTTGACCACAATTTAATACCTTGTTGTCCATGAGAACAGGTTCAATGCCGAAAAATGGTCTCATTGGCATGGCAGGTTTGATTTCAGCACCAGGAGCCGATGGTCTTGGAGCCAGACTGATGCCCCCAGTCTCTGTATGGTAGAGGATAACAAGACTTTTACAGGAACTTCAGTCAAAAGGTGGCTTCACACAACAACCATAAGTTTGGTGCTTTGTTTACAAACAGAAGTTTGAGTGTGTGAACACTGTTAAAACAGTTTGCGAACTAGTTGATGAAGTTTGATCAACTGTTGGTGAGAAATAGAAATGATCTCTATTCTCACAAATATTTTTACCAACATGTTTGTGTTCTGAAACCCAATTTTGAAGTGTGAATGGTTATCAGCATGTTGGTCTCAGAGTGAGTGAGAGCGTGTCAGCTTAATGTGGGAGGAAAGCACGAAGTGATGCAGGTCTCAGATGTTTACCACTTCGGTGAAACCAAAGAGCACGGTTTTGGTGCTGACAAACCTAGAAACGTAATTGGGGTGAACCAGGATTCGTGCCCACAATCATGGGTTTCTGGTGCGCCCAAGGGACGCAACTCTGCACAGTGAATTAGATGACTTGGGGCACCCGTGCCTCCTGTTGGTCTCAGATACTAATCAGATACTACGTTGATATCCCATGCTTTTTCTTACAAAGAGGAACTAAGTAACAACAATACAAATTTGTCATGTGAAGACACAAATAAGTTAGGAAATTTTTTTAGTTGTGTGTGTGAAGAGGCCTTATAACTTAAAGCCACATTGTTTAATGTAATGGTTTTGGGGAATCTTTTGTGAGTCTGAATATTTCATATTCTTTTTGGTATGTTTAAATTGATTTTTTTTTACTATGTAAAATACCAGTTATTGTTTTCTTGTAACTGTCCAACAAGAATAGAGTGAACAGGTAAATAAAGAATGTGTTATTAACATTATCTGTACAATATTAAAATATGGGTGAACATAATAATATTTTTTTTTGTTACAACAAATGACATATTTATGTTTATGATCCTTCCATACGGAGATCACACAATCAAACTAGAAAATATGGTACAAAAGTATAACTGATTATTGGTCAGCTGATAATTATCAGCCTAAAGTGTGAGAGAGTAGTCCCCCTTTATGCACCAACCTGTCTGCCACCAGGTGTCAATGATATCACATCTCTTCTCTCCCACTATGGAGTAGTACCACTCCCAGGCTTCGTGGTTGAGTGGCTCGCCAACTGGGAACAACATGAAGACTGTCAGGGTAGCAAGTTCTTTCTATATAATTGATGATCAACATGCAAGCATTTCATAAGCATTTCAACCCCGTGAGGATCCGGTTTCGAATTGGTCTTCAGCAAACCATTCTTGTCGTGAGAGGCCACTAATGGGATTGGTTGGTCAGGCTCACTGACCTGGTTGATACATGTCATCAATCATTGTGTAGATTGAAGCTCATGATGTCAATCATTGGATTGTCTAGTCCAGACCGGAATATTTACAGACCACCATCTGATAGCTGGAATATTACTGAGTGCAAAACCATCACATACTACTTCCCACCAATTATGGATAACACACCAATTTGTTCTTGCAGTAACAACAAACAAAAACTATAAGCATTTCAAAAGTACAAATTTTCTGAAAAGACATATCACTCACTGCTACAAATATTGATATTTTATGGTATCACATAAGTTGTTCTAAATTTACTTTGAACTTGTTGAAGCTGAAAATAACTGTGAGTGACTATGGTTTTACTTCAGAAGCGTTTCTTCACAAATGGGCTCCCAAATAGTGAATAAGAGAATTTCTTTTAACACCATTTGAACAGTGTGTCAGCCACATCAGCTGTCAGCTTAATGTGGTAGGAAGCCACAGGTATGCTGCTAACAAACCAAGGGTCATAATCAGGTTGAATCAAGGATTCAAAACCACACTAAGGGACACAACTCTGCACACCAGTTTGTACTCCTTACACAACCAGGCCTACAAGATCCTGTTCCACAAAGTGAACACAATACCCATAACTCCCATACTTTAACATAGGCTTACAACTGTCATAGCACTACATTCGCTCTGTGGAACAGGGCCCTGGGCCTCACAAAGTGGGAGAACCGGTATTCTACATGGTGAGAACAAGCATCCACTTTAAAGCAGGTCTAAAGTAACCCTAGCCTATGCTGTCCAACAGCAGGCATGTAAAGGTCAGGTATCAGGTAGGAAGTTGACTATGTGACAACGCACTCACCACACCCTAGTTTCCGCAGTGAAGATCGGTCATACTTGTTCACCCAGGAGTCTCCCGACTTGAGCAGCAGTCGTAGTGCAGTGGGTGCCAGATAGATGTGGTTCAGCTTTAATCTCTCCACCATCTCCCAGTACCGACCTAGGCATCAATGGACTCACAAGTATAGATACTTATAAAACACTAAAAGATTCTTTATAGATGTATATTATTTTCACAAGGCAGGGTCAGGACACTTCCTGGATCTATATGGGTATGCAGTTGGCCAAAATGAAAACTTGAAAAAGACACAAACTTGTCATTACAATGTTCACAAATGTTCTCATATATGCTCCTTAGTTCTCATATGCTTAAGAAAATAGAAGGAAATTTTTTAAAAATAATTTTAATTTATTTTCTTGTTTTAAGATTTTCAAACTGAAAGATCATTTAATAAAGTTAAAACACATAATTAAATACCCTACATAAACAAACACTACAATTATTTGAGAAATGTCCATCGCAAACTCCCCTACCTGGGTTAGGGTATATGGGTGTGCTCTCAAACAGCAGGGTTGTTGCCCCGTTAGAGAGGGGTCCGTACACCACATAGCTGTGTCCTGTGATCCACCCAATGTCCGCAACGCAGCCGAACACTTCACCGTCCTGGTAGTCAAAGACATGCTGGGAAGACACAACAGTAATTAGCAACATAAGCATAGACGCATTGCTTACCTGAAGGTAACATTAGTGTGGAGGCATCGCTTACCTTGAACTTAATATTAGCACAGAGGTGTGGCTTACCTTGAAGGTAACATTAGCATAGAAGTAAGGCTTATTTTTGGGTAACATTAGCACAGAGGTGTGGCTTACCTTGAAGGTAACATTAGCATAGAAGTAAGGCTTATTTTTGGGTAACATTAGCACAGAGGTGTGGCTTACCTTGAAGGTAACATTAGCACAGAGGTGTGGCTTACCTTGAAGGTAACATTAGCACAGAGGTGTGGCTAACCTTGAAGGTAACATTAGCACAGAGGTGTGGCTTACCTTGAAGGTAACACTAGCACAAAGGTGTGGCTTACCTTGAAGGTAACATTAGCACAGAGGTGTGGCTTACCTTGAAGGTAACATTAGCAAAGAGGTGTGCCTTACCTTGAAGGTAACATTAGCAAAGAGGTGTGGCTTACCTTGAAGGTAACATTAGCATAGAAGTAAGGCTTATTTTTGGGTAACATTAGCACAGAGGTGTGGCTTACCTTGAAGGTAACAATAGCACAGAGGTGTGGCTTACCTTGAAGGTAACATTAGCACAGAGGTGTGGCTTACCTTGAAGGTAACATTAGCAAAGAGGTGTGGCTTACCTTGAAGGTAACATTAGCAAAGAGGTGTGGCTTACCTTGAAGGTAACATTGGTGTAGAGGAGGTAGCCTGCGGTTGAGTGAGATAAGCCTTTGGGTTTTCCAGTGCTGCCAGATGTGTACAACATGAACAGGGGGTCCTCACTTCCCATCTCGGAGGCTTTGCAAAACTTTGACTCACCGCTTAATGCCTACAGTGTATCAGAACAGAATTAATCACTGAAGTTGACCTGGTGCCTTTGTCTTATATCTTATCCACAATAATTATACAGTGATTGAGGGGAAATATTGTTTGACAGGTGGAATAACAATCTCATATGTTTCCTATATTCAATTTCTGAATGATATCTGAACATTAAAGATTTAGGATTTCTTTATCTTGACAATGGGTTCATCATCAACTTTAGCTTGTTGGTCACACCCAATCATGCCAATAGTCTTTAATTTGAAATGCTTTTTACAAAACCATGTGGCATACAAAGAATTTAGCCTAACCTTCTCAAGGGGAATGTCCAGTTTGCCCATGGGGACATCAGCCCCTGTGCGCTGATACACGAACACACGTTTGACGCTCGGACACTTCTGGACGGCAGCATCCACGGTTTTCTTGAGCCCGATGATTTTCCCTCCTCGAAGTCCCTGGTCGGCAGTAATCACAGTTTCAGCATTCGCTGGCGATGTAAATTGGTATTGTTAAAACTGATTCAAGCCTTATGTTTTTGGACTGTGTATTACACTACATGCACAGAATTGGCTAAACAATACAACTTCTTTAGAAAATTAACAGAGTGTGTTTCTGCATCGAAAGTATCATATATAGTAAGCAATAAAAATGGTATTGTACAAGCCTTTGGTGTTGTACTTATTTTTTATTCCTTATATCATATCAAAGCCTTCATGTGATAAACTTGTGTCCGCTTAATGTGTGGGGAAAGCCCAAAGTGATGCTGGTCTTAGACGTTTACCACTTTGGTGAACCAACGGGCATAGGTATGGTGCTGACAAAACTAGAAACATAATGAGGGTGAACTGGGATTCGAACCAAGGGACACAACTCTGCACAGCGCGTTGCAGTGCCTTAGACGACTGAGTCATCCATGCCTCCTCCAAAATTACGACATATTCCCTGTGTAATTAGGGTAACTTAGTTATCAGCCTAATAAACTGTTGTAAAGATGAAGGAGTGAGTGAACTGTGTTTTATGCCGCATTTAGTGATATTCCTGCAATATCGCGATGAGGGACATCAGAAATGGGCGTCTCACATTGTAACAGTGTGGGGAATTGAAACCTGGGTCTTTAGGTCTATCCCACCATCATTAAAAGAAGTGACTTAATACTTACTTGGTTTCAACTTTAGCCTAGTTCCTCTATAATACATCTTGAGGTAAATTATCCTTGTAACTTGTGACTATGAGACAACTATAGCAGAAAATTTTAAAAGAATTATTCACTGCTGTATAACAATACCCAAACACCTACCATCTTGGATTCTTCCTGCCAGGGCCTCTGCGCTGAAGCCTGCAAACACGACATTGTGCACTGCACCAATCCGGGCACAGGCCAACATGGCCGTCACCGCTACGGGGGACTTGGGCAGATAGATGGCCACTCGGTCACCGCGGTCCACCCCACTGTGGCGTAGCATGTTGGCCATCTGGTTCACCATGACAGATAGCTCACTGCAAAGTAAGCAGCCATGACTCCTATTAACCAACTTTTTAATGCAACAGCATCTTTATTTTAAGATGCTTCAGTTGTGAGAAGTCAGCACCATACCCGTGCTTGTGGTTTCACCAAAGTCTGCATCACTTCGGGCTTTCCTCCCACTATATCGAGGTGAAACGCTGTGGTATAACAAATAATGTTCAAAGCTGCTTTAAACCCAACACACTCACTCACTTTTATGAGAAGAATAAGATAATGGGGACAAGACAATGCATGAAAGGTTTTGTTACCGAACATTGGCCAGGCAAACCCAGAGATGAATGAGTGAGTGAGTGAGGGAGTTATATAATGGCATGCCTGTTTTTTTAAGAAAGCCTGAAGTGAGATAGGATGTTTACCATTTGATGAAACCCAAGAACAAGGGCATTGGAGGACAAAACTAGAAACACAATCAAGTCGAACCAGGATTCTTGTTGGTTGGTTTGTTGTTTTACGCCGCACTCAGCAATATTCCAGCTATATGACGGCGGTCTGTAAATAATCGAGTCTGGACCAGACAATCCAGTGATTAATATCATGAGCATTGATCCACACAATTGGGATCGATGACATGCATCAACCAAGTCAGCGAGCCTGACCACCCGGTCCCATTAGTCGCCTTTTACGACAAGCATAGTCGCCTTTTACGGCAAGCATGGGTTGCTGAAGACCTATTCTATCCCGGACCTTCACGGGTTAACCAGGATTCTGGCACATCAAAGCGTCGCAACTCTGCGAAGAGAACTGTGGCGCCTTAGACCACTGGGCCACCGGTGCCCCTCAGAGGGCCATGACCTGAGCAGTGCTACATATCCTTGGTAAGGTGACACACAATCCAGCCACCAGATTCCCAGTTTAGCAACTTAAGAGGAAATGTGATTGACATGGCGTTATCTGGATGTACAAGGTTGATTATTATCTTTAACATGAACCCATGTGTCAAGGCATGTTGTACAAGGTTTTACAGGCATGTACACCACAAGCCAACTTGAATCGGTTTTTAAAAGATGGTGAATGGGCAATCAGATAGCTTGATTTCATGACAAGTTAGAGACAACAACTAAATATTTTAGCGGAGGGTGGGATTTCTATTACCATGTTTAGAAACAAAATATTTCTGTGAAAGGAGGATACAATTTTACCAATATTTGCACAAGACATATTTATTTTTCATGAGATCTTTCATATTCAGCAAACAGAACATTAACCTTGTAATAAGAGTGAGTGAGTGAGTGAGTTGGGTTTAACGCCGCTTTTAACAGTATTACAGTTATATCACGGCATGTCAGCTTAATGTGTGAGGAAAGCCCGAAGTGATGCAGGTCTCAGATGTTTACCACTTCGGTGAAACCCACGAGCACAGGTATGGTGCTGACAAACCTAGAAACATAATCGGGGCAAACCGAGATTCGAACCCACAATCATAGGTTTCTGGCGTGCCCAAGGGACGCAACTTTGCACAGCGAATCTCGGCGCCTTAGACGACTGGGCCACCCGTGCCCCCCATTGTAATATGAAATGGTGTCTTACCCATATGTGACCGTCTCTTGTGTGCCTGGCTCGTCCTTCTCCCAGATGAGCGCCACCTGGTTCTGCCGAGTCTCCAGGTGGCGGTCCACACAGTTCACTGAAAGACACACGAACAACATTTCTAACATACCCTGCTACATTACCATAAAAAAACTTGGACATTAATCGTAGGTTTGCAGTGATTCACTCAAGTCCTGCAATAGATGTCATTAGTGTAAAAAAATGGAGGTTACCTACAATCGCACACATGTTAATACAGCTTCTATTTATCTCATGTAGAATAGTATAAGTATGCACATGGCAAAGATTTGATCAGTACGGGGGAATCAGGTACAGAAATGTATTTTTTTTAGGTTTGACAAAGGATGCTCGCCAAGGTGTTTAGATATGCCCTTTGTAATAAATAAATTGCATCTTGAAGGAATGCACAATAATATTCACTGTACAAAACTCTTGACAAGAAATCTAAAAGTCCTGTAATTAAAATAATTATCAGATGTTACAGTACAGTACACCATTTCATTACTTTGCAGGACTCTCATATTTCCTGTAAGGACCATTAACATTAATTATTGGGGGTCTCCACTGACCCCTAGTTTGTGAGGTCAAGATAAAACCCTGTATGGTGGGTAATATGCAGTTGTAATTTAGACATTTTGTCTCTTTCTTTTCATTGATAATATAGGTCTAAGTTCTTTTCAATTTCTTCTCTAAGAGGTGTGTGTGTGTGTGTGTGTGTGTGTGTGTGTGTGTGTGTGTGTGTGTGTGTGTGTTTGTGTGTGTGTGAGAGTCTGCATGCATGTGCATGTGCGTGAATAAAGTTTTCAAAAATACTTTACACATGAATTGTTTTGTACAAGTGTAAACTTACATTGAACCTCAAGCTGTTGATACCTCCTGCCACAGATGGCCTACAGTGAACTCATCACGTATAGAGCATACTTGGACAGACAAACGGACGGACAGACAGACAGACAGACAGACAGACAGACAGACAGACAGATGCATGGACAGTAGGGCTGGGATGGGTAACTCGGGTACTTGGGTCGGGTGGGTCCTGAGTAGGACCCGGGTACCCACAAGGTTACCCAGACACGTGGTTAGTCATGTTACATACTGTTTAATGACATTAACAATAAAACTCAATAGTTACACTACAAGTATAGCTAATGTTCACATTTCTTTCTCACTATGCAGGCATTCGTTCTGACTTATATATGTTCGAGTAAGGATAAAGCGTCTATCAACTGCAGTGTATAAGTGATCTGATCGTATTATACATGTATCTAAATAGTTTCTGCCAGGGCTGCAGTAAAACAATTCCCATTCGGACATTTTGTATCCAACTCTTGAGACCTATAGCGGGTATCTGGGTAGGGCAGGGTAATAGGGTGTCGGGTACCCGGGTAGTAAATTTGGACTCAGCCAGACAGATGGACAGATATTGACTTCATATACTCCTAGTCCGAGGCCATCTTGCATACATAACAAATTCATCCGTCAACAACTTTTACACTAACAGTTTATCAAGATCCACAACATTTCTGAAAATGCAGTCAGCCCTGAGATTATATAATTTAAATAAATTATGTATGGAAAATGAAAGAAGTTGGAAAAAAAACTGGACAAATACAAAAGTTGGACAAATACGATGGATAATTTTGATAGCAGGCTTTCCAAAGACTGGAATATATTTTTTTTCGAACATTTTTTATGACATAATGCTCTTATCAGTTTGTTGGTGCATAAATATTCCCATCTGAACATGCCCTTACACTTTAACATGTGCAAAAACACTGACACAGTTTCAACTAGCCGTTATTGTTTGAATGCTTATCAAGAGGGAAGGCTACAAAATAATAAAATACTGAGGTCAAATTCCAACGTGGGCGGGCTAGGTCTGTGTTGGCCTTTGCACCCTTATCTACTGTCAACATGCTTGCTTATTCACAACAGTGCATATATTCTGATACTCACAGTCTGTTCAAGGTAAGTTCATCAACAATCTAGTTTTCCAAATGAATTGAAAAAGTAGTTGTGTAAAGGTGTAATTATTCAACCATGTGAGTGTTTCATACTTTTCTAGAGGTGGATCAAAGATTTTGAAAACGATGGAACAACAACACATGATGAAGGACACTACTTCACATGCACAAGGTGTCGAAAGAGGAGTGGGGCTTCACGCCACTGCACCACCCCACCTGGATCATCAGTGAGTACACACTATATGCAGGAAAGTGGCCAAGTTACTCCTTGTTTGCTTTCAAAATAGCAGGAATTTATCCAGGATTCCTAACTAAATGCCCTTGGCAGAGAATTTGGGGGAAAATCTGTTTTTTTGCAGAACTTAGTCAATGACCCCAGAGACCATAAAATAGATATCTGGTGAGCCCTACAAAGCCATAACATTAGTTATTACCATATAACATGAATTGAGAAATTTGTAATTCCAGTTTGTGAATTTTGACTGACATTTGCTGCAGACTTGCTGCCACATACTGGCCTCTGAGCAGGTCTAGATGAACCCTGCATAGTCTGGTGTTGGAAGACATGCCAAGTGATGTTGATACAGTGTATAAACTGCCTGCTAACAGTGCATTGTTCCTTGTGATTTGGATATGTGCCATGCATAAAAAGTTGAACAATGTAGCATTATGTACAGCACAAACAGGACATACTGTTAGTATACTCATGGTACTTAGGCAAATGATATCCTTGTATTGGTGTACAAATATAGTAAGGAATATTAGCTATCGGAATATATACTATTATATGGCCTTGAAAAATGTTGTATCTCTGTTTACCTAACAAATACATTTTGTGTGCCTACCCTGACAATCATATTGACTTTCTTGTCAAGAGTCAGTGTGTGGGTCTATGTCTGTGTGTGTGTGTGTGTGTGTGTGTGTGTGTGTGCATGTGTGTGTGCACTGTTATTCATGGCATTTTTTTATTAATGTTGTAGCCTTATATCATGCTATCCGACACCAGGAACAGGATTCAGAAAGAAAATCCAGGTAAGGGAGATAACTTGGGTGATCTGCACGTGATCCGCTATTGTGATCTTATGGGACATGTGACATGCAACACATTAGGGGCAGCCAAGGAACAGATGCATATTAGAAGTCAACTGAAATAACATTTTAAGCAGAAATATTTTTGAAAGGTCTAGAATATGAACACTGTTAGTGATGCTTCAACTAACCTATAAACAAATTAAAGTTAACCAATTGTGGTGCTATACATATTGTCAGATTTTCTGTTTTATCATGGTTACAGGCCTTGAACTTTCTGAGAAATATACCTTCCACTCTTTAAACCAAAGAAAACATGATTTTTATCCCACGAATACAGCTCATGTTTTAGTGTCACACATCCCAAGTTTCAGGTTTATCCCTCCAGCTGTTGAGGTGAGAAATTACAGGTCAACAGATGGATGGACTTGATACATGAGCTGTCTTGGACCTTCAACATGTTCAATCCTGGTGATCTAGAAAAGATCGGGCTGGGTTTCTTCATAAAGTAAGGTACAACATATTTGCATTTTTAGGTTTCTCTAGTGTTACAAATTTTATTTATTGTTTTTGTGGAAATAAACAAAATCCTATTAGGTTATAAAAAATTCAATTACTTTATTTTCAATTACTAGATATTCATCCACTACCCACTCTCTCTCCATATCATTTTTACAAAACACCTACAGAAAAAGGAAAGTGTTGAGTGTTTGTTCCCTTTTATTGTACTTGATTAAATACACCATTTACAATCAAACAAAACAGTTATTTCAATGAAATAAAATTTACCAAAAATTAAATGCCTCCTGCCTCACATTCTTTAGATTTAGAACATGTAACATATTGTGTTTATAAATAATAGCGTGATTGAAGTCATACTTCCTTTGCAATGTCCTAATTACTGACTGAACTCTAACTAAGCACTTGAAATCAGACCTGAACACTAAGAACAATCAATCTGAAGATAACTGACATATCACACAAACACTACTCCACAACAACATGACACATCTTGCCTTGCATGTGTTTCTAGCAGGGATCAGCTGATAATGTTTTTTGAGAGGGGGGAAAAACATTGCGTCAGTGTAAACCTTGAGTTTATTAAAAATGTAAGTAAATTTTTGGAGCCAATTGTTGCTGCGCGCTACAACCGAGGTATTGAAGGGCGCAATAGTGAGGGAACACTATATATGTTATGAAAGTGACACTTGAGTTTATTCTTTTGTTCCTACATCCAGCACCTCAGATATGAGGTGTGCGTGACCAAAATGCAAATGTCTGATTGGGAAAAAAATATTTCGGGATCCCTTGTTTCGAGCAAAGTGGAATCATTGTTATCATTATTAGGATCAGGAGGCCTTACATTATTTTTTTGTGTGGTTTACAGATCCGCTGACCTTAAAAATATAAATTGAAAAATCAAAAGAAGAATAGACATCAGAACAACAAGGTTTTTTTTTACACCACCGCCCCGTATAAAAAAATCGCTTTGACAATACAAATAATCCAAGGGATTTCTATATGACCATGATGACTAAAACAGAAATTGTTCCAACGCTAAATCGTCATTTCAAACCAAATATATATCTAAATATATTAAATCCTAATCCACTGTCTTATAATTCCAATTTCTTGCAAGATATAACTCAAATATTTTAAAAAGCCTTATATATAATTGTTATAATTGTGACTCAATGACCCATGAAGATCCGGGGTAGAATAGGTCTTCAGCAACCCATGCTTGCCGTAAAAGGCGACTATGCTTGTTGTAAGAGGCGACTAACGGGATCGGGTGGTCAGGCTCGCTGACTTGGTTGGTGCATGTCATCGATCTCAATTGCATGGATCGATGCTCATGATGTCAATCACTGGATTGTCTGGTCCAGACTCGATTAGTTTTACAGACCACCGTCATATAGCTGGAATATTGCTGAGTGCAGCGTTAAACCACAAACAAACAAATGTGACTCAACTGTACATGATGTATGTTATAGTTACAACACACCCAGACGAGTTGTTTGGGCAGTAAGAGCACGGTTTGGCTTGGCATTTGATTGACAGACAAAGGGACCGAGGGGCGGAGCCCCGAGGTGATCCTTTTGTCTGTCAATCAAATGCCAAGCCAAACCATGCTCTTACTGCCCAAACAACGAGTAGGTGGGTGTGTTGTAAGTGACTTGTAGCACGGGTTGCGACCGTCATTCCAAAATTACGCGAGTTTGTGTAAAATTTAGTGACATATAAAGATGACGTTAAATATGACGTCACATGCTTTCTGCCTTCGAACCGTTCTTAACTTTTAATCTAATTGTTAAATCAAGTGTAAACTTTGGAATTTTCAAAGGCACATTAGAAATGTCAACTATTAATTTTCCGAATTTAGCAAAATGCGTTCTGTGTCCAGTTGTTTTTATGTTTGACAGTTACATTGTAGTCTTTTAATTAAGTTATAAACATTTCTATTGTTTTTTGTTGTTTATTTACGTTATTACTCTTGAACACTGTGTACAACACTGAAGAAACATTGTAAGTTTGAAATTTCTCAAGCTAGTAGGCGGGGCTTGCTGATTTTGGCACCAGCCAATGGTAATAATCTTTAACAAACCCTGCTCTTACTACCATGATACAGCATGGGTAAGATCAAAAGTACCTCTCGCAACTGTGCTACAAATAGACACTACAACATGCACTATTTCTAAATGTGTCACACTGTGCAACAGTAACATGAAACCTGATACTGTACTAAACAGTGTAAAACATACTTCCTCTAGTGAACAATGGGAGGTGTGTGACATGAATAACATTATCACAACAGCATACCATAGCATGTATTTTCTTTCAAGGACACTTCTCTCTACCAGGCAACCCCTTCGATGATCAGGCATATTGTGCAGTTGTATAAAGCAGAGCTTCAGGTAAACTGTGTATTTACATAAAATACACAAAATAAAACACCATTTCCCAATTAAATTTGAAATGCTTGTGTTCAAATACAAATGAAGATTTTAAAATCCCAACAGTGTAACAACACCCTTTGTCTAACCGTACATAAAAATACTAACTTCTGATTGGTTAGGGTGCAGGCAATTATTTTTTCCATGTAGCCCACTGAGAAATCAATCGGAACACACCTTAGGTAACTTACTTATCTCACATAAGTATCGGTGAGCTGAAATTAACTGATGTTTATCCAAATGTATCCTATTTAATCTGCATACCTATATTTTGTTGCTGTATATTTACTGATTGAATGCAGGCATACAAAATACATGAACTCTAGTCTACTGCTGTGAATTATGCATAAAGGTGCTAATCTCATATGTGAATAAACACTCAATGCTCAAAATATTATCTGGAGCCCTGAATAAAGTAACAAATCTTCAGTCACTCAAACCTAACACCTTTATTAGTTTGTAACATATAGATTTGAAAGGAAAAATATAAACATAATTAAAACTTTGTTTCCCTCATCAGGATTCAATGAGAATTGTATTGCATATGGCTTAGCACACAGCAATTGTGTGGATTAATGCTCATGATGTCAATTACTGGATTGTCTGGTCTAGACTTGATTATTTACTTACCACCGTCATATAGCTGGAATATTACTGAGAGGGGCATATACAACAAACAAACAAAGCAAATGGCTTAACATGCTCTCTGTCCCCGTTCACTGACAAAGTGCTTTCATGAAACCATTATCTCTCAACACAATGAGAGACAATGAAGTCAGCTCTCAACACAATGAAGTCTTCTAACTGGGTCAGTATATTATTATCGTCAGGATTGTTTTATGACTTCCATTGATGAAGGTCTTGCTTTGATCATACAAGGACCTAAATATTATCCTGCAGGGGTCGTGTTAGGAAACTAAACTTTCACCATGTGTACGTTGACATAATACATAGATCTAAAAATATATAAATTTGATGGAAACAAGCAGCGACATTTAAACTGAAAAGGAGCCCCCAGTGAAATGGGCAATTCAGAACCTGTGTAAAATCTAGACTTGCTTCATTTAGAGCTATAGCATTATTTTATGGGCTGGGCAGAAGTGAAAATAATATGGTTCAAGGACTGTGAGACAGGCTACATGTGTATGTGCAGATGCAAAGTTTGTTGCACCAGAAAATGACAAATTAAACCAACAACCTCACTCAGATGTAAATATGCTTAGGAAACAAAATAATTTCAGATCAGAGTTTTTTGTTTTCAATTCAGTAAGTCTTTGCTAGACATCCAACAAATCAAAGACTACTGTCGTAACTGTCATGCTCAATGCTAGCTTTTCCTCATGGAGATTCCAGGTTAGAATAGCAACTGTGTTAGTCATAAGAGGCGACCAAATGGGAGGGAAGGGAAGGAGTATGGTCTTATGCCGCTTTCTGAAATATTCAAGCAATATCACAACGACCAAAAAGATCGGATGATCAGGCTCAGTGACTTTGAGATGTGTGTGTCAACATACCCTGCTGGCGTGGATCACTGTCAACAATATCAATCACTGGTTTGCCTGGTACACACTCGAATATGTACAGGCCGCCATCATATAGCTGGAATATTGCATTACACAACAAAAAAACCCTTCAAAATCATGTGAATTCTGCTGATAAAACAAGGAAATCTTAAATCTTTTCAATTTTTGACATGCACTGGGTGAAACAAACTCATTAAAAGCAGAGCTTAGTTCTTGTTAACGCTAAAAAAGCTTTGTGTAGCAGTAACAAGTACTAAGATGGGACTTTCATCAGATTGTTGGTGAAAGTGAGTGAGTGAGTTTGGTTTAACGCTGCTCTTAACAGTATTTCAGTTATATCACGGCGTGTCAGCTTAATGTGGGAGGAAAGCCCAAAGTGATGCAGGTCTCAGATGTTTACCACTTCGGTGAAACCCAGGGTATGGTTGACAAACCTAGAAACATAATCGGGGTGAACCGGGATTCAAACCTACAATCATAGGTGTCTGGCGTGCACCTTAGACGACTGGGCCACCTGTGCCCCCTTGTGGGTGAAAGTAGACTGCATTGTGTAGCATCAGATTGCATTGGTGCATGTTTTATATAGTTAAATTATACATCTGGTATCAGGGAAAGGCTAAGGATAGGACACAGTGTTTGTTGAGCGTGAGGGTGAGGTGAGGTGAGGTGAGGTGAGGTGAGGTGAGGTGAGGTGAAATGGGGTTTAACGTTGCATCCAAGATTATTGCACTTATATAGCGATGTGCATGTACGTGTGTGTGTTTGTGTGGCTACTTGTAATAGTCCAGACTGATGACGATTTATAGTGCTAGCTCACTGAGATACAATGCCGCAGTTTAACATGAATACCCCACTCAGACACAGTATACCGACTCCGAGCCGGCCAGTCCTTGTTTTAGCCCCTTAATGCTGAGCGCCAGACAGGGTAACAACAAGTACCATCTTTAAACGTCTTTTGGTATGACGCGGCCGGGGATCGAACCCCGGACCTTCTGCCCTCCAGGCGGACGCTCTACCACTAGACCACGGAGGCGGTCTGAGGGGGAGGGGTAGGGGTAGGGAGGGGGAGGGGTAGGGAGGGGGTGATGACGATTAAAACTACCAGTAACCCAGATTGTTTGTATGTTTGTCAAACGTTGGAGATATGTTCATTCAAAGATACTGCAACATTAACTGTTTGTATCCAGCCCTATCACTTGAGCAATACAAAGATATTTGTCTCGCAAAATAACAAAAGCCCAGGCTCAGATGGCTTTCCCACTGAATTTTATAAATTCTTTTGGAAAGATATTGGACAATTTTTATTGCGATCATTGAATTGTGGTTTAATATCTGGTGAACTCTCTGTTACCCAGAAACAAGGGGTTATTGTCTGTATTCCAAAGGGGGATAAGCCTAAACGCTTCATAACTAACTGGAGGCCCATATCACTATTGAATGTTTCATATAAGCTGGCATCTTCATGCATAGCAAATAGAATCAAATCAAGATTGCCATTTATCATTAATGAAGATCAGACTGGCTTTATGACAGGTCGCTACATTGGTGACAATATTCGCTTAATCTATGATGCCATCTCATGTACAGAAAAATCAAACATTCCTGGTATGCTTCTTCTTATAGACTTTGAGAAGGCATTTGATTCCATTGCTTGGTCATTTATAGACAAATCTTTATCCTTTTGGGGATTTGGTGAAAATTTAAGAAAATATATATCGGTATTTTACAATGATATAAAAAGCTGTATGTCTATCAATGGTCAGTTGTCATCTTGGTTCAATATCAGACGCGGTTGCCGACAGGGTTACCCATTATCACCGTATATATTTATTCTCTGTGCAGAAATACTAGCCAATATGATCCGCTCTAATAGAGATGTCAAAGGTATCCTGGTGGACGGTAGTGAGTATCTTCTTAGTCAGTATGCTGATGATATGGAAATATTACTTGATGGTAGTCAGTCCTCCTTTGTATCATGTATTAACTCTCTTGATTGTTTTGCCAAAATATCTGGTCTTAAGATTAACTATAATAAAACTCAAGTTATCTGGCTTGGCTCCAAGAGAGGTTGTAAGGAAAAGTTCAAAGATGATTTGCCTATTGGTTGGAATCCAGAAGAGTTTAGAATTCTAGGAGTCAAATTTTGCACAAATCTGAAAAAAATGGTTCAGTTGAACTTTAAAGACAAATTATTTGAGTTAAAACAGATTATGAATAGGTGGATGAAACGGATAGTTACACCAATTGGTAGGGTGGCAATCATTAAATCCTTGTTGATTTCAAAACTCAATTATCTATTGTTATCACTGCCTGATCCCCCAAATGATTTTCTTGTTACTTTAAATGCTATGCTTTTTAAATTTCTTTGGAGTGATAAACGAGACAAAGTAAAGAGGATTAAAGTTTGTCAACGTGTTAAGCAAGGGGGCTTAGGTATGGTGAATATCTTTTTATATGTAACATCTCTTAAGGCCACATGGATAAGGAGACTTGTGTCCTCAGGTGATCAAAAATGGAAGCACCTATTTAAATCTACATATCCTTATTTGTGTAAACTTGGTGAGTTTGGTGTGACGTTTTTTGAAAGAAAATTATCTTTGATAAGTAATGAGTTTTGGAAAAGTTGTTTTCAGTCATTTATAGTGCTTGATAAGAAAATCAAGCCAGAATCTTTCAGTAGTTTTTTAACTGAACCAATTTTTTATAACCCTAATATTAAAATTAATAGGAAATCATTTTTCTTGAAATGCTGGTTTGAGAAGGGCGTCTCCCAAATTATAGACTTGGTCAAGGCCAGTAAGGAGTTTCTGTCATTTGAGGACTTTAATGATATGCATGGTATTTGTTCATCCTATTTGGAGTTTTATGGTGTTGTTAGCAGCGTTAAACAATACCTTGGAGCTCTAAATTTAGTTAGAGTTCCAACAGATTCTGTGGAGGATCCAATTTGTAGTTCCAAGTCCGGTTCAAAACATATTTATTTTTCATTGGTTTCTACAGAAGTAAAAACTAAAGGGCAGGAAAAGTGGGAATTACAATTTGAAAACTTAAATTGGAACAATATTTATAATAAAATTTTCAGTACAACACAGGATGTCAAACTGCGATGGTTTCAATACAAAATTACCCACAGAATTCTCACCACTAATACTTTTCTGTATTTACTCAATTATGCTCAGAATGATTTGTGCTCCTTCTGTCACAATGAAAAGGAAACAATTACTCACTTGTTTTGGGAATGTGATGTAATAAAACAATTTTGGGATGAAGTGTCATTGTGGATCGACCAGTGCTTTCATGTTTATAATATGACATTTTGTACAGAATTGATACTTTTTGGAGTTAAAGAGAACATAAAAACAGATAAAGTGTTTGATTTACTTTTACTAATTGCAAAATACTATATTTATAGATGCAAATTCCAAAATACAAAACCTTATTTTCATGTTTATAAAAAGGAAGCTTTTTCACGATACAACATTGAAAAAGATATTGCTTTCAAGACAGGTAATCAACAGAAATTCTATGGTGCTTGGATGCTGTATCATCAACTTTTCGAAAATGAGGAGCAGCTTTCAATTTAATTTTAGTTTTGTACTTAAGAAGTTAATGTTTGAGACCATGTACTTTCCTAAACTGCAATATGATATATAAACAAGAGTGAATGTGTGAGTGAGAAGTATGTTATTTTCTGTAAAAAAAACAACAAAGTAAGATGTACTGATAAGTTGTGCTTTATGTCATGGGCTTTCTGCTACCCTGGGCGGAAGCCCATTTATGTAACAGGTGCGTCTTTCTAAATACAATAAAAGAAAAAAAAGAAAAAAAAAAAAAGATATTCGTCTCATTAAGTTATAGATGTTTTTTTAAATATTTGATATTTGATTTGCCTTTTATAAATCTATATATACTTTACAAATGCACTGCTATCTGTTGAAAAAAGACACACTATCTGTCCGACTCAATATTAAACAAAAAAGTTTTTAGGCCAAATAAAAACAAAAACAATGACATACTATAGGACAAAATCCCAAGATCTCCATAGCAAATCCCAAAATGCTTCATGCATGCATACTCGCACCAGAATGTTATTACGTTAATCCTATTAACCCCAATATAAATACTGCTGACTTTGTCCATTACTTGACCTACTAGTGTGTCATACAGACCTAGAAACAAATATATCCAATGCACCCCATGGAAGTCTTAATAGTTGGCAAGTCTAGATTACAGCAGTTTCTGAAAATAAAGAGAGTCTCTGGGCTCAAACAATTCAATTCAAATAATCTGCTTTTATTTGTGTTCACAGATGACCGAACCCTAACAGGGCCTCTGAAGTTATGCCAGAATAACAATATAACTGCTGTGTTCTGTCAGTAACTTACCCGACGCATTGAGCTTGCCGCCTTCGAACCATTGTATTTTTCCATCTGTCATGTCACAATCTTTCACTTTATGGAAGTCATGGAACCATTTTAACCTGGATCGAGCCAATTTCCCCCAAAACACATCGGGGTTCTCCAAGCTGAATCTGTACAAATCGTCATGTGTTTTAATGCTGGGCACCCCTTCGAACTCTGGGAAAGGAGTTGTTGTCGTCGATGTTGTGATGTCTCGCTGACTGACCAAAACCTTGGCATACTTCGGGTATGTCCTCAGGTGTCGTCTGCTGCCAGACAGTGTCGTCTGCAGCCTGAGAGAAGTGCAAAACAATACCTTGAGCACGGCCATCCTGTTTGAGTTGCTGCCCCAGCTGCTCTCTCCTGTACAACTGACAGCGTTCAGCCGCCCATCCACTTGCTGGCGGTTTACCGTACTTCGCGTTACCGTACTACACACGCTAACGACAGCGCCAGCAAAGTTCACAAGGTTCTATCTTTGGAACTGGCACTTATCTGTTCAAATTCACGTCATCTTGAGAATAAGGCCAATCTCTGCATGCGGTCAATACTGCGGTCAATATTCCACTGGACGAAATGGGCATTGCAAATCTTGTCGCATCGGATCCCACTTCAAAACAGAAAATATACAAAGATGGAACCTGGTATTTCGAAGGGGATTGTGTTAGATTTGCGGGGCCTAATTTGATTATATTGGGTAAATGTTTTGGTTGAAAAAACAGCATTGACGTGCATGTAAACAGTTGATACGTGGAGACGAGTTATTATTGTCCCCCCAGCCATACATGCAGCTTTCGTATGGCGCTATAATTATTGTGTACGGTAGTCGAAAGTGCATGTGAACTATGGTACACGAGAAGAGCTATGCACGCTTTGAGGTCAGGGTTGAGGCTTCTGTTTTAACACAGATGGCTGGGAGTGTTACGGACCCCTTCGGCCGAATATTCTGTATACAATGTGTTACATATGGTCTTCAGCAACCCATGCTTGTCGTAAGAGGCGACTGTGCTTGTCGTGAGAGGTGACTAACGGGATCGGGGGGTGAAACTCGCCGACTTGGTTGATGCATGTCATCGTATCCCAAGATCGATGCTCATGATGTCAATCACTGGGTAGTCTGATTGAGGCTCGATTATTTACAGACCGCAGTCATATAGCTGGAATTTTGCTGAGTGCGGCGTTAAACACAACAAACAAACAAACACAGGTTGTTCTTTCACATAAATAGCATTTACTTACTTTCATTAGTAAGAAATAACACGTATCTCACGCATGATCTGCACATGAGGTATATAGCATGTATTTTATGTGCCGTTGAAGCGACCGCCCTGTACTAAATTTTGTTTTCAGATAGATCGTACTTTACGGATTTCATCCACACAAGATTTACAAACTGTTATCAAGACATTGACATTTCTATGCTATATCCTTACTTTTCATAGCAATTCGACCCCAACACAGTAAAACCTCTTAGAACCCAACACGATACGTATACAGTACTATACAGCTATCTCTTAATAATAAATGCAAGGTCTAAGCTATCTCTACGTATGACAAAAGTGGATCAAGTTACAAATACAGAAAGGTTATACCCAGAAGTAAAGAAAGCGAAGATGATAATGCAATCAGTGCACACAATATAATAATGCAATAATATTTGAGACATTGAAAAACAGGTCTTCAACTGAACCTCTTTTAGTTCACAGCATCCCCTGAAAATATTAAAGAATATGTCAAATTGTTTCTGAGAAGAGATTGGCGGGAAGGCTGTATACTAGTATTTTAATCACTAAAGTGCGCTGCTACGGCGTCCGTTTTGAATAAAAAAACACAATAGTTTACTTCGTTGTAGTTGGTAGCTGCAGACATTTAGAATGCTATGTGTTTGTTTGCTTGTTGCTTGACGCCGCACTCAGCAATATTGTAGCAATATGACGGCGGTCTGTAAATAATCGAGTCTGGACCTGACAATCCAGTGATTGACACCATGAGCATCGATCTACGCAACTGAGACACGATGACATGCATCAACCAATCAGCGAGCCTTGCCGAAGATAGTGTCACTTGATCCAACTGTCTATGGTAGGTATACAACGGCGGTCTGTATATAATCGAGTCTGGACCGGACAATACAGTGATTCATCATGAGCATCGATCTACGCAATTGGGATACTATGACATGCATCAGCCAAGTCAGCGAGCCTGACCATCCGATCCCGTCCGTCGCCTCTTATGACAAGGGGCGGTCGGGTAGCCTAGTGGTTAAAGCGTTCGCTCGTCACGCCGAAGACCCGGGTTCGATTCCCGACATGGGTACAATGTGTGAAGCCCATTTCTGGTGTCCCCCGCTGTGATATTGCTGGAATATTGCTAAAAGCGGCGTAAAACAATACTCACTCACTCACTCTTATGACAAGAATGAGTTTCTGAAGGCCAATTCATGCATGACAGATTAACCAGAGTAATAATATTATGAAAGATTCAGGCGGTCTATAACTTTTTATATAAGTGTAACAAGAGTCATCAGAAAGACATATCCTCCCGGCAGCTGTCTGTAGAGTAACCACAAGTAAATGTGCAATACTGTGTGCAATGAGTCAAGAGTTGAATGTTCTGTAAGAAGCATACATTGTTTACCAACCAAACATCCACCATGGTCGCATCCATATGAAATGGAAAGTAAAACGTGTGTTTCTGTGGCTTTTTTTATGCAAACAAATGACAAATAACAAGAAACAATAACTACACAAGCGTATAGTCTATATCTATCATCTATATCCCCCGCCCATTTTAACACGTTATGGTCCCAAACCAGGTAACTGACCCAACATTTCTCTTAGCCCATGTCAAAAAAGCTGCAATCGAAATTCTAAAATAAACATTTCTAAAACTCCTTAATATCAAATGGAACCAGTTCAGTTTTTGAGTTACGCTCCGGAAACGAACACCATCCTTATAGAACCAAGTCCAACTTGTTGCCATGAAAACGTAAAAAATAAAATTTTGAAAAATTAAAATTAAAAAGAAAAGTGGAGTTTACAATGGGTGTATTGACGGAATATGGCTGATAACGTCAGCAAATAGATATAACACTTCAGTCAATCAATCAAGTCTTATTATATAGAATACAACATATGTTTTAAATTAGACATTTCGATGAATTATAAGTAATTGTGTGTTATCAAAGATGGAATAGTTGTGTTATTACATCATTTTGCTGAATTGATAATATACTCTGGAGTTTGGCAGTAAAGCTTATTCAATTTTTTTTAAAATGGAAAGACGTAAAATTTAGTTTCTGTGCACTTTTCCGTAAAGTGACTATAAGCTGGACAAATAACACGAAATGATATTCATCTTGGAGATGGGTGAACTTATAAACTATACATTTTCTAAATTCGCGAGGAATATTATCAGGCCCAACTTATAAATTTATTAAAGTCGTCTTCTTTTAACCATGTTTCATCAAAAACAAAAACAATGTCATGTTGTGATATGAAAGACAGAAAGTCGTTATCAGTGTGTTTGTTGGTTCAACCTCCTTTAGTCCAAGCCATGAAAGATAAGTGTTTGCCTGTTGAGGCACTCCAGCGCTGACCATCCCGTGAGTTTCCCAGAGATAACCGTCGACCTCGTATTGACGACAACACGCGCTCATACATGACCCACAGCTGGCGATGTCCCAAGTGTACTTATTTGCAGCTGGAGCCGACAAGTGATGTCCATCACCTTCCTGAGTTGTAGGATGTTCCCAATAACGGACCTGCCATTGTTATAAGTAGCCCCTCTTGTTCTCGGAACCTAGAAAGTTCCTCAAGTTGTCGCTTCGTGATGTCATTAGCAACTCCAGTGTAGAGTTTAACTAAGCTGTCCTAACCTTGAGTGTCGAAATCTTCTTCTCTGTGTAGAGATATGTTTCTAATAAAGGCCTCGATATTCCGGGGACAGGTTTTCATTGACTGATTGATTTTCTGTTGTTTAACGACGCACTCAGAAATATTCCAGCTAAAATATATGGCGACAGTTTGTAAATAATCGAGTCTGGACCATCAGAATCGATCTACGTAATTTGGGATACGATGACATGCGTCAATGGAGGTCATGGAGGCTGACCACCCGATCCCGTTAGTCGCCTCTTCTGACAAGAATGAGTTGCTGAAGACCAAACCGGACACGAATCTTCACAGGTGAACAATTATTGTTTTGCTGCCTTGACTCAATAAATGCCCATATAGTCCCAAAATGACACAGAAGGGAACTTTGTATTTAGACATATGTTATTGATAACAACAAAAGGATTGATAAAAAATGAATCACTTAATTGCCTCTCTCTTTAACCTTAGACAAAGGTTATATCAGTGCCATTCTGTTTTCTTGAACGACGAACAACACAGCGTTCAGCCATGCTCATCTCGGCTGTTGGCGAAAATAATAGCCTTGAGACCAACGGATGGCAATCGAGTGGAACGGTGAATGGTATACGATACGAAGGACAGTGAATGAATGGTATACGATACGAAGGACAGTGAATGGTATACGATACGAAGGACAGTGAATGGTGTACCATACGAAGGACAGTGAATGGTATACGATACGAAGGACAGTGAATGGTATACCATACGAAGGACAGTGAATGGTATACGATACGAAGGACAGTGAATGGTATACGATACGAAGGACAGTGAATGGTATACGATACGAAGGACAGTGAATGGTATACCACACGAAGGACAGTGAATGGTATACCACACGAAGGACAGTGAATGGTATACCACACGAAGGACAGTGAATGGTATACCACACGAAGGACAGTGAATGGTATACCATACGAAGGACAGTGAATGGTATACCACACGAAGGACAGTGAATGGTATACCATACGAAGGACAGTGAATGGTATACCATACGAAGGACAGTGAATGGTATACCATACGAAGGACAGTGAATGGTATACCATACGAAGGACAGTGAATGGTATACCACACGAAGGACAGTGAATGGTATACCATACGAAGGACAGTGAGTGGTATACCACACGAAGGACAGTGAATGGTATACCATACGAAGGACAGTGAATGGTGTACGATACGAAGGACAGTGAATGGTATACCACACGAAGGACAGTGAATGGTATATACCACACGAAGCACAGCCAAGGATATAGATACGACGCCAGACGCCCTCCACACATTACGTTGCTGTGTCGGATGAACGGAACACGAAAGAGTTGGAATGTAACAGAACAGAAAAATGTGCTATATAGAATATGTAGAGATGGTATGAAACCTGTGATTGAAATGGCATTTGTTTCATGATCAGTCAAAACACCGAAGCAGAGTACAAAGTTAAACTGTGTACTTGAATCTGATAAAAGAAACACCGCCTAGTGTTGGTAGAGACTAACATTTAGTCCCTGCAATAATGTCATCTTATTAAAAAATATATGTCTACAAAATAAAAAACAAACAAATATGATTCAAAGATTAATTTCAGAG